AACCCACAGGAGGAGGTCGTACCAACTAGCAAATGTAAACAAATTCGATTCTGGCAGCTTTGTCATATACTAACCTAACCTAAACCCACAGGAGGAGGTCGAACCAACTAACAAATGCAAATAAATTCGGTTTATTCACTGTTGCACCTAAACACCTCTAGAATTATGTCAATTTTTTTTTTCACACATATACATTCAACATTATACTCAGTGAATGTTATATCTGAAGTGTTTATATAAAATGAACATTATGCCATCGGTATATTAGATTGAAAGTTATTATATCAATCGTCTATTATATCCAGTGACCTTTATATCATGCAAGAATATGTTAAATGTCTGTATATCACAAATTAATTATATCTGTTGAGCGTTATATCGATTAAAAATATGTTATTTGTTATTATATGTATATTACGAATCGCACCCATTCCGCCCACGTGAGGGAGTCCAACATCGCCCGAACGACACTTGCCGCGTCATAACAGGATGGCTCTTCTCGCTCTTTATTATACCCACTAGCAGATATTGCAATGTACTACGCGAGATAGCATGTGACGTAGAAAAATTAAAGCCGGAGGTTGATACTCGGCACAAGCGTCCACCAGTACGACTTCTTCTTCTTTTTCTTACCGTATCAGTGGTATACACTATAATGCTTGCCATCGTGGTGAAAGTAATCCTCGTAAAAAGTAAAGGGAAATCCTCCTAGGATACTTCTCCGCCGTGGGAGCAATGGAGAGGTTAACTTCTACAGGCTAAAACCCCACAGTAGCCTTCTTGGGCGATCGATTGGTAGGAATCCGGTATCGATTTTGCGCACCGGGACGTAGCTCTTCCCAGCACTTGGGAAGAGCTACGTCCTCCCCCTCTCCCTCCTCACGACAAAGCGGGCCACACCACTGCGTCGTCCTCCTCGCGGCTGCCAAACTTATTGGCAAACACAGCGCTCGCTCCTATCGCCCGCAGCCGCGAAGGTGCGCCGCCACCGAGCGTGATCGGAAAAGGGCCGATAACGTTTGAGAACCTCCTTCTAGAGCATCACCGCTTCATAGGAGACCACTGCTTCGTAGGGCTCTTGATTCGCCAGCGGCTATCCGCTACTATGCCTGGCAGAGAGAGATCGCGGTCCTCCAGCTTGTGCGATGAAGTGAGGCTATATCAACCCGACACAAAAACATTATGCTTGCGGATCGAAAATACATCACCTGCTGTCGTCCCCAGTATATCCGACCAGCAGCACCCGCGAAGACCTGCTAAAAGGTGCTATCAGGTGTTTACTGGGTCAAAGAAATTCAACGTCGGCTTGTTATTTTATTGGTTTTTTATTTTTTATCATTTGACTCGACTAGAAAAAGAACACTCATGTTTTTCTTGGACCATTGCCTTATTTGTCAGACTTATATTATTTTAAAGTCCCTTTCATCAACAGCCGATGAAACGAAAATGTCCTGTAGACTAGTAATTCTTCACGTTCTTCAACGCGTTTATGGCCTGAGTTGGTATTCATTTTTCTTCGGCTTAAGCGATGTCGTCATACCATTTGGCTGGTGGTCGACGTATAAATCCTGAGCTCCTCGGAAATGTCCTAATGTAGATCCAATGATGGTCACAACGTGTAGTGAGTGCCGTTCAATATCAGAGCAATAAAATGCAATCGCGCAACATTTGTGCGATTTATTTGTCACTGATATACTTTGCTTGGATATGATTTCTTACTATAACACGCTGAAGACGTTTACCTAGATGGCTTTCTAGAACATATAAATATTTAGCCTAAATAGTCCCACTGCTGGGCACACGCCCCCACTCGGAATGAGAGGGCAAGGGCAACAGTTCTCATGCGAACCCGATGCGGATTGGAAACTTTACACACATCATTATATTGCTTTGCAGAATATGTGTAGGTTTCCTCACGATATTTTCCTTCACCGAAACGCTCATGGTGAATTTCAAATTAAATTTCGCTCATAAATTCCGAAAAACCTAAGAGGTAGGTACAAGCCCGGATTCGAAACCACGACTATCGACTAGGCCACAAGCCGTTAGGGCATCACAGCTATAGCTGTCTGTCCTAAAACGTCGGCCTATTTCGAAAACGCCTAATTCATAAGGGAGATGGTTTTAAAAAAAGCGAAGCGTATTCAATGGCTAATCCGAACGAATCCCATAACGACCTAATATTGTCTCGTGACTACGTTAACCAATGATATGCTCTGTGTGTTATTCACAATACAATTTTAACAGTGTCTAAATACAGATGTTTAATAAGCAAAACATTTATTATTTTGGTTTGGGACACTATTCTGGAAAAGCCGCGATTTGACGGAAATATTGGAATGATTTTGAAACAACTACAATGTTTGAAAACCGAATCTAATTTTTAACAATGTCACCAAAACCTGTAAAAATAATTGTACCAAAGGATTTGGCATTCAAATAAATCTATTCCTCCCAAGTTGTATACTATATTTTATATTATAGACGTTCATTGTGCTCCAAATATATATATTTGACAAAATTTAATCTAATCTAGGAAATGGAATGCTTGGATGATTGGGTCATAGGGAAAAGATCGATGTTTGTAGAATAACGGCACAAATTTATGTAACTAACCCGGGGAAAGGTCGTCTTGAACCCGATTGGTGAATGTCCATAAAAAGACAAAATCAAAAGTATCAAGACTACCGGGAGTGTATAAAAAGTTTAATCAGAGTGGTGGAAGCTACAGTCTAATCACTACGTACATTTTGCTTTGTACGTCCAGGAAGATGGATGTCGTTAAATAATAGATGGCGCTGGCATCTCTTTTTTCCCATACAATTTTTAGATAATTTTTCAGAACTGGAAATATATTTCATAAAGGCAGTGTATTAAGTTCAATCACTTTGGGAAAAACATATAGTATAATTGAGAATGTACACTGATTACTATATGACGACGGCTCTTAACTCCCTCAATTCCGATCACTGATAATAATACACGAATGGTAACTCCACACAAATAGCAGCGCGGCTTTTATGTGTGCACACCGCCGACCGCGCCCTTTATACGGACGCACAAATACCCATAATCTCGCGGTACACTCGCATTGACCGCGCAAGTGAAGAATTCTTCTAATGTCTGCTGGTTTGCCACATAGAGGTCCCGGGTTCGATTCCCAGGCCAGGAGAAATATTTGTAGGTATGGCCTAAAGAAGGATGGCGACATCCTGTGTATTTTGTGACCCGGAGTTTTTGACGACTTGTATTAAAGAGACCTATCAATATTTGTGATTCATTATCAAAGCATCAAAAAAGCTAATTATTATAGAATAGACATTTATTGCAAAGCCACGACATATTGATACAAAAAAAAAAAAAAATTTGATAAACCTGTAGAAATTGGGGTTATAAAGTTGATATAGGTTATGTTTATAACATTATCCTTTTTTCGCTTCAGATGTTTATTCGTAGTAACAGAAAACAATAAGTTTTCAGTTTGTTCCCAAAAATAATAAAAAACTTGCCAAATATTCCCAAATCTGCCAAACTCTGCCATATTTAATACAACTTGTCATGATATGTCTGCAGCAATGAAAATGAATAAAAATTAAATCTGCCTAAATGGCAGAAATCTGCCACAAATGGTCACACTGTTCTCAATATCAATATCTCCCTCTACCTTAGAGGATGGAAAAAGTTTCCATAGTCTAAGCCCTCTACGACGTAACATTAACGTTGCCAAGAGGTTTCTTGTCAAAACATTCCTTTGCAATTTTCTTTATCTCTCATTTAAATATTGTCTAAATATTTTTGTCACATTGTGTTTAATTTTTTGTTTTATGTCATTACTGTTTAGTTGATTGTTTCATTAGGTATTTTATAGCTTTAATGTTTGTGTACTATAAAATAACCAACACTGTAGGTAGGTAAACATTCAATCTTGCTTAAAATGAAACTTACGTACAAGAACGTTACCTAATCTACACTGAATCAATTGTGTTGTGTTCTTGCATCTAGTCTAAAATACAGTGTTTTACAATTTCTTTATTCCCGGCTTCTAAAAATATATTGATAACTAGGCATAAACTAAAACGCAAAATTATGCTACCAAGTCCATGAACGGCTCTTTGGGCAGCATCAGGGGAATTCTTCAAAATCAGAAATTTTTAAATAATAATAAACATCCCAATATCAATCTCAAGTACGCCTTGATTTATTTACAGTCTACGAAGGGGTATGTATGTGAAAAAATAAAACAAATGAATACATTTCCAAAATATATTTTATCAGCGAAATTGTAAAAATTTTAAATTCATTCAACTTACGTAATAATATACACTTGTGATTGTTAAACTTAAAATAATAAAAAATATAACATCTATTTATATCACAGTGCAACAAACGTAACAAGCGTGTGAAGCTGGCAACTTTGAGAGCGAGTACTAGGGTAACATATTCGCGTCTATTTTTATCGTGTTCACAGACAATTTGATTGTTTATTTGCCACAGAAAGAAAAACTATGTCCAACCACTCTTATCTCATCTTTCAGATACTTTCCCTAACACCCTGTATATTTTCGAATTTTAATGTGCATTAAGTGCGGGTCGACAAAGAAAGTCGTCTCATATCTTATTGGTCAATATAATCGAATACGCTCTCGTCTCCCAAGCCCTCTCTAGTTGCGAGCCTCGCACGTTATTTCGCACGTGGATTTAAAATCAAGCATAAATGGACCTTCTTTTCCTGGGTAGAAGGTTGATACTGTAATGATATAACGCCCGGCTGGTAGGTTCTTCAGTTCGAGTATTACAAAGCCTGATCTGTGAAGAAAAAATACAATTAAATTCCTTCTTATCTTAAAGATCGCTTTACTTTCCACTCTTGTACACTTTGTAGTCCCTTTCGCTCCTCTGATACTCTCTTACTTAACTTGCCCTCTCATACCTCTAACTTTTATTCCAACTCTTTTACCATTTCTGCGATCAGATTGTGGAATTCTCTCCCTGAATCGATCCCCTTCTCTTGATTCCTTCAAACAACGTGTCAAGGATCACTTCCTCAACTCCTAAATTTCGTCTGTCCTCTACTATCCTTTCATTTATTTCCTACATTTGTACTTCATTTTTCTTTTTCTATTAAAAGTATATAAGCATTTAATATTATTGTGTATTTATTGTTATGTATGTATTAATAATATTATTGTTATTTATATATATATGTATATCTATCTTTGGATATGTATATATTTTTATTATTACTTATTACGTAGTGTACTTATGATGATATTCTTTGGTTGCACCCCTTTTGCATATCCGAAATGTCTATCCTAAGGTTGCCTGGAAGAAATTGGTATATAGCAATAAGGCCGCCTGTTGCACATTGACTTACTACTACTATTATACTTAAGCTATTGTATTTTAATTGTAATTTTATGTGCAATAAAGAATATTTCATTCATTCATTCATTCAATTAAAATAATACGTAAAGGGTTTTTTTCTTTGTGTTTGTCACAACCCAAAGAGAATATGGAAGGAAATGAAACTATTTTTCCGAATTTAAAACTATCTATCGTATTTGTTTTTTCAAACAAACTGACTCGGAGTCTTATTTGAATAAATTTTCAATTTTCTGTTTATCGAAATATTTTTCAATATAATACCAAAACGTCGTAACTTGTAATAATAGGTCTTGACGTATTGAACTTTAAACGATATGCCAACAGAGTAAAGTTTAAACTATATTAACAATCCAGAATTTGTTATTTCTTTTTAAATTTGAACTGCGACCAATCAATATCAAGATTTTGTAGTGTTTGTTTCAAATTAAGAATGTGGGTGTATATAACAATAAGACACCTCCATTGTTTCTTACATGGTTAGAACCAATTTGGAAAATGAACTTTCCTGAACACAGTTCTGTTCTAGAGGCTCCAGGTAGTGCCTCGGAATTAATTTGCTGTGGTACTCTCAAGTCAAAAACTTACCTATAAGGGCCAGAAGATTCTTTCAAAAATGGCGCCGTCTGATTGGGATCGTCCAAACTTTCCACCCTCGCGTCGATTCCTATCTGGTACTCCTTAGGCCCCCTCAACTGAACAGTGACGTGGCAGGGGACGCGGGAATCCGGTACAGTGATTACGTATTTGGGGTTGTTGGGGTAAGTCGCTCTGTGATTCTCACAACCCCCGGCAGTTAGGCCGGACCATTCGCCGCTTATCTGTAAGGTGTTAACGATATTGCTGATGTTAGATGAATTTAACTGCCTCCGTGGTCGAACGGTCACCATGTTGGTCTGCACGCAAAGGTCCAGGATTCGATTCCCGGGCCGAGAGAAATATTATATAGCCCACATTTATTTATCTGAAGAGTTTGGATGTAATTTGTGGTTGTCTATGTATGTGAGTCCGTGGCACCCGCGACACAGGGTTTCCCTAGTACGGGGCTATAACTATAAAAGTTATGATAATCGAAAATTTTTGTTCAACAGTTGTGCGCGTAGTAGTAAGCTACACGCCTTTCCATAATTGTTGCAGTGCCACTCAGAGCTTTAAATCGCAAAGATCTGGGGGGCACTGCTACTTCACTCGTCACCCTGAGATATAAATTGACAAGCCCCAGTACCCTTGCTGAAACGCAGCACTGTTCATATTACCTACTGCTTGGCGGCAGAAATAGGTAAGGTGGCAGTACTTCCCTGTCGGGTTCCCTTTCAAGCCCTTTACAGGTCAGTCAACCGTGACCATGGGACCTGTAAAGGGCCCGAAACGTTGGTTTGTTTGAAAAAACAAATATACGGGATTTAAATCCAGAAAAATAGTTTAATTTCCTATGTGTAACAATGGCGAAAACCTAAGAACTCGATATATTAAATATTAATTTTGCAATTTTCGTCCAATATAGCAAAGATCAAGTTAAACTGGACTATTTAAAGTGAAACAATTGACGACACCCGTGAACTGTTTCGAATTCGGGCTGGCCAATCGAAGCGCAGTTGTCACAGTAATGATTTGGCAGAATAGTTTTCAAACAAATGACATTTCGCCTCTATTTCTTTACATACTCGATGCCATTTCTCAACGTGTGATGGTTGCTTTGTTTCCACAATACAACCAAGAATATTCTGTATAGGATCCAAGCAAATTGTTAGGATACTTACTGATTTAGTATATCGATAAGGTTCAATCTTAGCCAACGAAAATTGACAAGTGGCGTATGCCCGTAGCGTGTAGTAGATAGTGCGAGTTTTCTCATACTGAGACACGACTAGGGTGTAACGATCGGCGCTGTTTTCTCCGACTATAACTTTGCATAAATAGTGGGGACTGTTTATCCGGATCCCGTCGATATAAGGTGGGGGGTCGTCTGAAACCAAAGTTGTGTTGACTGGTAGATAACCTTACAAACAGGGTATAACAATAATATGAATTATAATTTATTTAATATGAAATAATATTAAGTACAATTAATAGCGACATCTCTGGCTGTAAAGTTAACAGGTTGACGAAATGCTTTATGATAGATGGAGCTAAGGCTAAAAAGTCGTTGAAAAAACCAAATACGAAAGATTCGAGAACAAGCACAAAAAAAATTCGAGAGGTCCACTGGTTTATCCCGTAGCTTAGTTGGCATAGCGTCTGACACGGTTTGCTAGAAGACGCCGGCTCGAATCCGGCCATTCGGATCGAATCCACTGGCTTTGTTCCCACTGGCGACAAATGGGGCAAAAATCCCATCCAAAAAGGGTGGAAGTACTCATACTATATTGCTTGATTTTAAAAGGGATATTGAAAGCCGCCCATCGTAGCTCTGAAAGTGATCTCTTCCGATCAACTCAAGATAGTGACAGCAAAAGCAAAAATTAAAAGATTCCCTTATTATTGTATTGCATATAGAAAAAAGGAATTACGACACTAGAATTTCTTTTTTTATGTAAATACAATGGAGGCTACAGAACCGCAGAGGATGCAAGTCACTACAGGGGGCTAAATAGGCAGATTTCGAAATCTTTGACTACCGACATACGCCAATTTAATACAGAGCGTATTAAAGAGGCCACTGAGCGGAACAAAGGCTCCAAGGTGGTAGCGAGAGATCTGTCTATTGGGCAAAGCCAACTGACGAAGCTGAAAACTGATGAAGATAGTATCATTTCGTCTAAGTCTGAAATCCTGAGGGAGATAAAGAGTTTTTTATCGACAGCTATACTCCATGAAAACACCTGTTGAAAGCGAGGCCAAAGACCCCAGAGCCAAGCTTACCCGACGTTATACCGAAAATATCCCGGACGTCTATCCGGATTAGTGTGGCTCTCAAACAACGTAAGAACAACAACGCAGCGGACGATGATAGAATCACAACAGAACTTCCGAGAGCGGGCGGCAAGCCGATACTTAAAGTCCTCCAGAAGCTTTTCAATTCTGTTATCGTCGAAGGTCAAACGCCGAAGGCATGGGGCAGAAGCGAGGTCGTCCTGTTCTTCAAAGAGGATGATAAAACACTCGTTGAAGAACTATCGGCCAATCTCGCTTCTGAGCCATATCTATAAGTTGTTTTCGAGAGTTATCATGAATATCGAGGTGTTAAGGTACTTATACAAAAACGCCACTATGTCAGTCCGATCACAGGATCAGAGCTCTAATCCTATCCAACTGCAACGAGGCGTGAGACAGGGAGATGTGATACATCCGAAACTGTTCACTGCTGCGTTGGAGGATATTTTCAAGCTTCTGGACTGGAAAGGACTTTGCATCAACATCAATGTCGAGTATCTGACACACCTACGATTTACCGATGATATAGTTCTTATGGCTGAGACCTTGGGAGACCTGAACACAATGCTCGAAGATCTCAGTAGTGTTTCCCAAAGAGTGGGTCTTAAGATGAACATGGACAAGACGAAGATCATGTCGAATGTCCATGTTGTACCCGCTCCAGTAAAAATTGGGAGTATTACACTCGAAGTTGTTGACCATTACGTATACCTGGGGCAGACAGTCCAGTTAGGTAAGTCCAACTTTGAGAAAGAGATCTCTCGTCGAATCCATCTCGGATACCGGATGGCGGAAAGATTCTTCAATGGCGACCGCGCACCGGATGATGCTCAGTGGGTAGGCTCCCCACCTGGTGGACCGACGATCTGGTAAAAGTCGCGGGAAGCCGATGGATGCGGGCAGCGCAGGACCGATCGTCGTGGAGATCGTTGCTGGAGGCCTATGCCCAGCAGTGGGCGTCGTATGGCTGAATAATGATGAATGATGATAATGATGTAAATAAAAATCGATCACACAAAAGAAGGCCCAGTTACGTTCTATAACTTACATGGATAATACACTCTCCGTCCACCGTGTTTATACACCACCAAGGTGATATACTCCTGGTTGTCCCTGAAGTCCTCGATCTGCGTGATATGTCTCGTAAGTAGAAGCCAAACGGCACCTTTGCCCTGCACGTGCAGTGAGAACTGGGGGTTCTCTCCTATGTTGTATGCGTCACGAACTGGACCTACGCCAGCGTCCCATTTTCTAAAAAAAATTACCTATAGTTTAGTTACGTTACACTATTTTCAAGAATTTACATTAATAATGTACGTTTTTAGATTATAAAACAAGTTTTATTTGTGTAAATTATACTTTTACAAGAATTGACTTTAATAATGTAAATTATGTTTGTGTAAATTAAGTTTTTTCAAGAATTGACATTAATAATTTAAGTGTTATTTGCGTAAATTACACTTTACAAGGATCGACATTGAAAATGTAAATTCTGTTTGTGTAAATTACGTTTTTTTAAAAATTGATTGACTTTAATAATTTAAGTTTTGTTTGTGTAAATTACGCTTCTTTCATGAATTTACATTTACAATGTCAGTAAGTTTTGTTGTAAATTACGCTTTTTTTTTCAAGAATCGACATTTTAAGTTTTGATCGAGTAAGTTCGATTATCCTGAACACACCGAACGCGGGGTGTCTTCTAATTCATTGTTACTAACTAGTGTTGTAAATTTTACGGTATAACCACGCCGAAGGTAGCCCGAAAAGCTCATTAGCGGCGTGGGCGTGTCTTACAATTTAAAACCAATATACCGGCACAGGCAGTACTGTACTGTTATTATTTGCGAATAAAATATAAAATTTATATGATGAGGTTAAAATTTTAAATAAATCACGAGTTCCTTCATCATGGCAACTTGAATACCAAAAAACAAAATTATCAAATACAATCGAATAAGATTTTTTCTGTAGCTATGTCAACTCCTTCCTAATTACTTTCCAACTACTGTCTTAAAGTCGCCACGCTGTATAAATGCAACTCCTAGCACTTAAGAGTTGATACTACCTCAGTTCGAAATCAAATTTTTCCCGTACTGTACGATTCATTTACATTCTGATATCGATAAAAAAATTAAACTGGCTTTATTTCAGAATTTATTTTTTTAGGAAATAAATAAAAGTCATTTCAAAAATATGTATAGCATTCCTGTTCTATTTAGTTCAGTTGATATACCCACTGAATGGTTACCTATCAGTAGTCCGAAATGACATTTTCCAGAAATAACCATTGCTAGAATTTTCATAACCTCGAAAGTAATTTCGAGAGGAAAATGTTTTTTCTTTTAAACCTAACTTAATCTAACCTAACCGAACCTTATCGTGTCTTTGCGATAAACATTCAATATATCCTGAAATAACAACTGTTTCGTTATAATTCGGTTTTCGGTGTAATGAAAATTCGAACGACGTTATTTCGGACCCTTACCCTACTGAATACAGCAGTTTTCTTGTAAAATTTCGAGGTAAGTTTGTGTTTTTTTTTATCGTCAAAATGTTTAGGAATCGTGATTTTACACCGAATACTAATCAGTGCATATCCTTAATTCTACTATATATTTTTTCCAACGTGATTGATTCAACATTTTCTTATTATGCGGTTGATTTGAGGTAAAACTTCAACATAAAAGTACCTTAAAAGCTCACTTACTGATGAATGCAGGACGTGAAACTAAAAATATCTGGGTCCCAATTAAGATAGAATACGTCAAAGAACTTCAAAATGCTCGCATAGTCAATCCAGAACACTCCATTATCATACTGCGCTGCACTATCGGGGTCATAGTTCAACCGTCCTCGGAGATCATTGGTCCAATGTATTGTGTCCAGTTCTGAATAATTGCCCCGCCACCTTAAATGGGACCAGGGGTTCTTTAGTTTTAAAAGTTTCACGCCCTGAAATAGGAAAACGAAATTTTATAGATCTCTTACTCTAACAAGGTTTAATTGGTAGGATCGCCATCCAATACTGTTAAATTTGATTTTGTATGACAAGTTAATAGTTATTTGTTTATAACATTTTCCACAGTTAGTAGCGTGGTCAGGTGGTGGGATATTTTTAAATAAGTGTTATAAATGTAAACAAATATACAAAGTTTGTACATTTGTAAGTATACAAAGAGCAAGTCATAGAGTTTCTTTCTTATTCTTCTTATGCAGGTATTATAAATGGGTAAGTTAGTAATTTGCTAACTTATTAAATAGTTAAATACCATCTATTAATTTTATTGGTGGCAACTACGGTAGGCTACCTTCTACGATATGATGATTACAAATCAGGTAGGTAAAACAATAAGTGAGAAAACAAGTGAGTGAGAGAAACGTGGCAAAGTGAAGCTAAAAATTATTTTTAATAAAGAAAAAGACAAAAGACACAGTTTGTAGTAAATAAATAAGCTTTGAAAATAACAGAATGTCGTTTACCACACCGACAATAGCGCAATATGCAATCGTCAAAACACTGAGCTGTGATTGGTCAGCTTGATTTTCGTACTATCTTTCACGTGATATTACGAGTCCATACTACCCTCAGTTCGAATTAAATTTTTTCCCGTACTAATACCATTGACTTACAATTATATGGACGTCGGGTCCGCGCTAAAATGTGCCCGAATTTATAGGGCGTTAAAATCGTATACAGAGCGTCATTCACGCTTTAGTCTTCGTTTGTTCGACTGACAGCGAAGCAAGCAAAATTAGACAGTACTGCGATGACATTACAATTTAAATTCAACGTTTTAGCTTTTTCACATTCCTTTAGATGTCACTACGTTTAAATAGGTTGACTTGGGACACTTTTTTTCGTGGTTTTTGTATTAGACCCGTCGTCCATTTATTTGTAAGTCAATGACTAATATGGTTCATTTTGTTTCATTTTCATTCGAGCGACAGGTATATCACTGGCTTTATTTCAGAATCAAATTTTTAACAAACGAAAAATACAGCCATTTGAAAAATATATATCGTATACTAATAATAATAATAATAATAATAACGCACACACTCAACATAGCCCCGCACTAGGGAAACCCTGTGTCGCGGGTGCCATGGACACACATAGACAACCACAAATTACACCCAAACTCACGAGAGAAATAAATGTAGGCCATACAAATATTTCTCCCGGCCCGGGAATCGAACCTGGGACCTCTGCGTGGCAGTCCGGCATGGTAACCGTTCGGCCACAGAGGCAGTTAAATATTAATACTATACGTGTTCCATTTAGTTCAGTTGATATAAAACAAAATCATTGGTATATGTAAAGTACATGTTAAATACGGCGGTTTTGTTGTAAAATTTCGAGCTAAGTTTGTTTTTTTTTTATCGTGAAATTTGTTAGGAATCCTGTTTTCACACCGTATACTAATCAGTGTACATCCTCAATTTTACTATATATTTTTTTCAAAGTGATTAATTCAACACTTTCACTGTTATGCGGTATCAACGAACTTAAAAAGGAACTTACCTCAAGGTTGCTAGATTTAGATTACGATCTGACGGAGGAATTGGTAAGCCGTGAACTACTTTAAGTAATTGCTTGTGTCTTATTGATATTTAATATGGGAAATACAATATAATTATATACATAGTCATTGACTTACAATTATATGGACGTCGGGTCCGCGCTAAAAAGTGTCCGCACTTGTAAGGCGCTAAAATCGTATACAGAGCGCGACACTCCGCTTTAGTCTTCATTTGTTCTACGGACAGCGCGATACTGCGATGACATAACAATTTAAATTTCGAATAGGTTGACTTGGGACATTTTTTTCGTGGTTTTTGTATTAGACCCGTCGTCCATTTATTTGTAAGTCAATGTACATAGTATACATAAGTTTATACAATTACGAGTATATAAATATTAATGGATTACTTATATACATTTATATATATATATATATATTTTATACACAACGCAAAATTTACACACATACATACACGCACATTCTAACCTACAGTTTTGTTAATAACTTAAATACTAATGTGAAGTATTCAGTGCGAGGTTTATTTGTATACACGTAGGAATACTGGCTCTCATGTCACAGGTTCACCCTATTTTGAGAGTCAGGGAAAATAGCAACCTATAAGTTTGAAACAATGTTATTTAAGTTTTTCTGTCTTTGTTATTATCTTGTTACTGTTTCTTTCTTTCTTTGAATAAATATATTATTATTAAAAAAAAAAAAAAAAAAAAAACTAAAGCCATTTGTGGCTCTTAACACATTTTCATCATTTGCATAAACATTAGAGCTTGTTCTGACAGGCTCAAGTCGATTACGCATAAATGTAGTGACCCCCTAAGTCGTTTGACGCCGTACTCACATCAACGGAAGTGACGTCGAGTACAGCATAGGCATGCGTTGCCACCAATCCTGTACGTTCCGCGTCGGCGTCTGACAGAGGTCCCGTCGCAACTGTCACTAGTACGTCACCCCGATCGAGTCGCTTCTGAATGATGTCGAACAGGGCGGTTGCGTTGAAATCTGTATCGTCATTACGGATAGCGCACCTCTCTGGGATCCAGCCCGTTAACGCGTGGAGATCTATATTCTGTAAATTAAACAATTACATATGTAGGAATGAGCAGGGCTGGGTAGTATTTGCATTACAAATACTGTACTAGGTTCAAGTGGGTCAGAGAAACACCGAGGGAAGAGGAATTTGAAACCTTACCACATAATCTAAAGAGTTTAGCGCTATAGTCTCTCAGTCGATAAAACAGACAAACAGATTAGTTTAAACGATTTAAAAGAGATGTCGCTACGATACTCCAAATTCAAAAGACGGCAAAAAACAATGACGATCGATGGCTTTCTAAAATAGTGGCCTATCTCAAAAGCATATATTTCATTAGGAAGATGGTTTAAAAAATCCGCCCAAATTTGACATATCGTAGAGTACCAGCTCAAGGTTGCCATGTGATTATTTTAACAAATTAAAAGTTCTGTGTCCCATTCACAATAAAAATTTAGCATATTCTGAACAAATTTCAGTACTAAGTCAAAAAAGGAAACAATTTGGGTTGTGCCACTATTCTTGAAAAGCAGCGAGTTGTAAAACTGTGAGAACACGAGTTATAATAGGTACATTGCTTGTATAAGCATACGATAACTGTTCATCTAGGCTCTTACCCCGTCTTTTGAGGGAAAAGAAACGTTAGCACAATTTGCACATTCCTGACAAATGCATTCTAAGTATTGAATTTAGCGTACTCTATCTAGTCAGATGTATCACAAAAAATATAAACCAAAATAGGTTTTAATGCAAAATTTTTCTTTATTTTCTTTATATAAAATTTAATTGTGAGATACTTAAAGCTTTTAAATATCATTTGAATAAACTATAAGTTATTAAGTCTAATTTTCCATTGTTCAACTTACTAGTGTGTGATGTAAAACTTTATATGCCACACACGCGGAACTGCAATTACAAACATTCGAGTCATTAAGGACCTAGCTTTTGTCTCGGCATTTGAATGTCCCTCTGTTTGTAATTGCCTACTTGCCGGCCATGTGACGCAATGTAATAAAGCGTCGAATATAAATAATGATTTACTTATTCACAGTAAATGAGGCTTATAAACATGAAAATTACATACATATATATTTCGGTACCTACAATGCAAACTATGCCAACTTCATTTTTTGGAAATTTTTTGTTATTTTCGTATTTATTTACCAAAATTATATTTATTATTCTGTGAAAAAAAAAATTAAGAAACAAAAAATCAAATTCGAAAAAAAAACCAAACGAATTTTGTGAATAAAAAAAAAACAAAATAAAAACAGAACAGGTCCAAAAATGGAGTTTTCATTGAGGAGGTGTCGTTTCATAGTAATTGTTCCTCATACTTAGCTATTTACAGCATACAATAAAACTGAATAAAACTCGGATTACGACAAAAATTGCGCAACCCGTCTCTTTTGCCGTGTATGTTGTTACTAAAAAGTCTGGACGGAAAGGTGACCGTAATTCCTCGTTAATAAGCGTGGTAGACAGCCACCTACACTTCATAAATCGTTGATGTATTGGTCAAATGAATCATTTCTACGTAACTACACTCAATTATGGCCTATTCAATACATTAACGAGCGACTACAAGACGCCCGGGGCCTACATTATATCACATTTATTTTTTGTAACAACAAATTCTAGGGTCGGCGGACAAAAGCACTTAAGTCAAAAACCAACATCATTCATTTAAATTAATACATCTACCGACTAAAGCTCATAAAACAAATTCATTTGTTAATTAAATTTTTATTGAATGGATATTCAATTATTTATTGTGAAATTACTCCACTAGTTTGTTATAATTAATTACTGCCTTGGACGAACTCTTTCACAAGAAGTTCTATAGCTACTACTTCTAGACGAACGGCAGTGTGACAGCCAAGTTACAAAAAAAGACACACTTACACTGTTAGATCCAGGGAAATCATATCCGCCCATAACTTTCATATACGCTTTCTCCAATAGTGAAACCCAGAATTCATTCTTATTGCTTGAGTATGAGCAAAGCAGGCGCCCATATCGGCTGTAGGGCAACCTATCGTCTATGATCACCTGCAAAAATAAAATTTAAATATAAAGCATTATATACTCCCGGACACATAATTCGAACCACCTCGCGTTTTTGCCTTAAAGGGCTAGAATACAAAAATAGTATATATCATCGAAGAAAAAGGACAAAGACTTTTAATATACTAGTTTCAAAATTGCGTAGGATAGTTCTTGATCAATCGAACATTGTTTAATCTTTAGGGCATTTAATATTGATGCCAGGTGGCTCGAAATATGTGTCCGGGAGTGTATTCAATATTATTTGATTTTTAATTCGGGACTGAATCACGTATAAATGGATGGATGTCGTGAGTGTTGTGTGTCGGTTTGGTGAGAATCCTAGTACACAAATAAATAATGAAGATTATTTAATTGTAGAATGTTTCACCACCATAATAGTCAATTATTTTTTGTGAAATTACTCCACTAGTTTGTTACAATTATTAATACAAAGATCGAAAACTTAGAAAAAATCCCGAAACCGTGTCGAGACGCTATGCCAACCAAGACACGGAACGAACTAGCGCACCTTAGGAATTTTTCTATGTTTGTATTGTAGCAGATCTTTGCTTTGTTTTTTAACGACCTTTTTGCAGTAGCGCCATCTGTGAGAAATCTATTTCTTCACTCAGGCAGGCACCTTTACAGCTACCAGCAGCTGACTACAGATTGCAAAGTTTATTGAATATCAGGATGTTTGACTATGTTTGTTTGTATTTTATTATTTGGATTGTATTGCATTTAAATGTTTGTATGTATTACAAATAAATTAAACACGAATACGTTTGTTTTTTCAAACAAACCGACGTTTCGGGCCCTTTACAGGTGCCATGGTCACGGTTGACATGGTCGGTTTGTTTGAAAAAACAAATATACGCGATTTAAATCCTGAAAAATAGTTTCATTTCCTACGAATACGTTACCTTTCTCCTTACTCCATTCAAATGCAACTTCACCATATATTTCCCGAAAGGATTATACACTGGGTCCTTGTTCCGATTTTTTGGATAAATAATGGACGTTATGATCTTCTTTTTGAACCGCCGTTCGTAAATCGCGCTCACCGCCAGAGAAGCTACGAAAGAACAGTCTGATACTATCTGAAAAATAGAGAACCCAATGATTAACTGAAATAATAACATACTAAGCGAATTGGAAATAGGTTTCTTAAAAAAAATCAGCATATTTATTATTTAGTTCCGATATTTTTTTTACAATACCAAATTACGGGACTTACAAGTAGTGCGCCTGGTGGTAAGCGGCACGCCTGTTCATAACAGTTGGAGTGCCACTCAGAGCTTTAAGTCGCAAAATTCTTAGAGGCACTGTCACTGCGCCCGTCGCCCTGAGCGCCCAGTTACATAAGGAGAAAGTTTTCGCGACCGCCCAGTTACCACGCCTTCAAGTACATTAATGGCGAATCTGAGTTCTATTTACTAGGCAACAACATTTAAATTCCTCTGAGTAAGACAACCGCGCGCTCGCCGGCGTATACCAAATTCAAGCCAGATTCGTCCGCGTGCCCGGGGCGCTCATTTAAGTTAAAACGTAAAAGCTAAATAAATAGAGCGTATTTTGCCATGACAGTTAGACGCACGCGGTCGCTGCGCGGCGGCCGTGCAGCGTGAGCGCGTATTCATAAATTTGTGTCGTATAAATGTGCCCTGAGAGATAAGTTGACAAGTCCCATGTGCTTGTAATTTCACCAGCACCCTTACCCTTACAAACCAGAACGCAGTAATGCTCACATTACTGCCTGGCGGTAGGTAGTACTTCCCTGGACGAACTCTTTCACAATGAGCTCTACTTACTGGTACTAAAAAGAGGGATATAAAGAGGGTTGACGAGGGGTGAGCACTTATTCCCGCCATGCTCTAGAATTTAATATAAATAATCGTCTACTCAAATTAATCACATTGATATCAAAATGTAATCCTAGCACCACCATAATTATTTTTAAATTGTTAGGTTCCAGTTATCTTTTCCATGCTTCAATTCCGGTTTCTATTCTCACTCCTTCACTGTTCATGCGGTCAGACTTTGGAATGCACTTCCCATTATTATTCACGAAAGTAAATCGTTAGCTATTTTTAAAGTGAGAGTTAAAGAGCATTATTTATCTACAATTCCATCCATATCTTAGGTATCATATTATAAAATATGTATATATCTAAGTATTTATATAATTTATAACAATTTAATATTATTATATTATTTTTATATTATTTTTTCCTTGTTTTGTTGTGCACATGTGCCCGTTCTTTTAGTTATAGTGTCCTGTATTTAGGTCTGCAGGAAGAAATTTCTATTAGAAATAAGCAGAACCTTTTGTTTTTAATTTCGCTTGTATTCTTTGTGACTTGTTGTATTTTTCCTGTACAATAAACTATTAAATAAATAAATGTTTCTAACTAAATTCGGAGGAAGACTTGGTGTCTGTCATACAGTTTTATTTAAAATTAGTACGGACGCTAAAGTTCAAGCTGATCTTAATATGTTCCTTGTGTAATAATGTCATGTAATTTTAAAATAGCATGCAATCGTATAGACTCAATAAAGATTATTATTATTATATATTATATCAGCGCAAAAAGATACTCTCTGTCCTTTATATTGGAACTTTTGATGTGACAGTAAAATAAACCAAGTATGTAAAAAAAATATAAATCAAAGAATCGCAATGGATGTCTCAAACAGTTAATAAATAAAATCAAACTTACCGTCTGTTTTATACTGAAACAATCGACGCAGTCTCCAACAATCATTTTCGGGTCGCTGCAAATCTCATGCGGTCGCACCCAACTGCTAAATTCACTAGCTTGTTTAGAAGACAGTTTCAATTCACTAGCTCTATCTTCAAATGGTATAGCAAATTGAAATTTTTCCGAGTAATCCACGTCCATAAATGGAAGGAAGCAATTGTTATTAATATTGGATGTTTTACGCAACACATCTTTTTCTTCCTCGGTGTAAGTGTGTTTGCCACTCACTTTTAATTGACTTGTTACACTTTGTTGGTGTTGTAATATTGTGCGGTTTGGTGTTACTCCTGTAAAATTATATTGCTTACGTTTTGCAAAAAAAAAAAACTTGCAAAAGATATTTATTGAATGGCCGAAAGGAAGACCATACAACCATGAAATAAATGGCGCTTTAATTTTACTGAATCTAAGGGCGACTCAGGGAGAAGAACAAACAAAGACAAAAAATCAAGTCCACAAAACATGTCCAAATTCACAAAACAGGCTTGCTACGTTTTGTATGTAGTTAAATTTTTATGATGGCGAATTTTTCATAGTTAATTATTGAGGCAAAAATCCTACTACATTCATCATATTATATGCAAAGTTAAAGTAATGTTGAAGATGGATAATATTTTTAAATATTAGTAATAATGGAGAATAATAGTTTAACAAATATGTTTTATGGCTGGATATGAACCAGCGACTTCGCCATACCGCCACATGTTTCAATAATAATTCAATAAAAATTACCAGGTTTCCTAGTATCATGGATGGACAAAGCACCAATTTTATTGATACCTTTCAACTCTTCTCCTCTGTCCAAAGCCTGTTTGGCCACAGCATTTATTTTTGCTTTTATATCTGGATCACTTACATTCTAAAAAAAAAATATTTTAAATAATTTGAGTGCTTCACAAGTTCACTAAAGAGGATAAGTATAAATTCCTTTTAATTTTATTCTGTTCACAATTTCATTATGAGCTCATACAGAATCCTAAATTGAGTAACTTAACTGTAACATTGGTATTACAATCAATTTTAAGATTTTGAAGCCTTTGTCCAATGGTGGATAAAAAAAAATTACAACAACACTGACGACATGCGTCATTAAGGAGTCTCCGTCGTCGCCTGTAAATCTAGTATGAATAGATACTGCGGGACTATGAGTGTGTATTATTCTTATTATTATTTCTTTTTTCTCCAACACACACAAAGCTAAACTTAAGCTGTGTGGCCGGCTTATTAGAAAATTCAGTAAAACTTTTTGAAACTGTTTGGAAGTCCTTACCAGCAGATTGGATATTTAATTTTATTATTTATTTTTACAAATTTTAACGCATCCGATGTAGATCAGCTTCACGAATCAATCAAAGCTCATCTAATCAATTGTATTCTGGTCAAATTCGTCTAGAGTTACGCCAGTGACTCTTAGGGATTCCATCAGGCTCAAAAATATAACACGACCTTTCTATTTAAGTGCAGTAAAGAGTAATTGGTATTGTTTGTATATAATATACTTACAACACTAACGGCAAGCTCCACAGCCTGTGTGTAAAGCTGTAAAGCCAAGTCCTTAAGGTCAGCTTCATCAGCATCAAGAGCTTGCTGCATAAGGAAGTAGCATTGTTGCATGCTACGCTCACTCTCTGCTTGTTGAGCTCCTGTGTTATTCAAATCAAGTATATAAAATAACTATTATTACAAGGTATAATATTTTCGGCCTCAGCGCGTTCCTATTATATCATGACAACACATAGTCGTTCAGTTTAAAATGCCGTGATTGGTATATTTAAATGAAGCCGTTAACATATAGTACAACACTATTAACTATCGTTCACGACTTTTTTGACGTTACGACAACAGACTGTCAAGACAATAGGAAGAGCTAGAACCATAGTTGTCCAACCATAAATAAAACGTCACGATAAAAACGTGATGACAGATAATCGCAGCTACTATTTTTGTCATTGTTATAATTATCATTGTCTGCATGTGTGCTCCCTACTCTCCCTCTCGTCCCCCTCGCCCTCGGTTGTGCATCAAACGATTCTGTCGTGCAAACAACAAGGCGGCTCGCGTGAGCCGAAAAATTGACACGATCCAGTGGGAATAGCTAGACACGACAGTTGTTTAACAAGAATAAAATTTCCACAACACAGTCACGACAGTCAGTCTTCATAAGGGAACAGGCTAAAAGAGACAGTCATTCAAAGATAAATAGAACATTACAACATAATGGGAATGCGCCCTCAGGCCAGCATTTGTACAATGAAATTAAAAATAAATAATAGTAATTAAATTTTTTATTGAATTGATATTCAATTATTTTTTGTGAAATCCTTCACTAGTTTGTTATAATTATTAATACAAAGATCAAACACTTAGAAAAAACACTCAGAAAAAATTCCTTCGATCCGGTCGGTGGTAGCTGCAAAGGTACTAACTGGGTGATAAATCTGTAGTAGATTTCTCATAGATGGCGCTACGACTAAAAAGTCGATAAATAATAGTAGTTTAATTTTAAACTTTACAATTTAAACTTATGACATGTTAATGAAGAAAGTAATTTCACTTTCATTTGATTAACTTTTCAAATGCTTATTTCATTTTAATTTGCAAATAATCAGTAGGTAGTTCTCATTTAACGACATTATTTGATCTCTTAAAAAATGATTTAGTTATATCTAGTGCTTAGGTTTCCGCAATTGTTGCGCATAGGAAATAGAACATTCATATTAGAGATGACTGGTTGATGACTATACCACCTCAATCAGCTGTAAAAAATAGTTTCATTTCCTATAATTTAGTTATGCTACATTTCCTTTGATCTTTTAGAGAAATATGTGACAAATTGCACTTTTGCAAACTAATAACGTATATTCAGCATTATTTAAAATTACAGGATAAGAAATTCTGAAATTCTGAATTTCCTATGTGTAACAATCGCGAAAACCTAAGAACTCGATATTACAGGATAATTTACTGTGGTTTTTCTCCTAATAATAAGTAGGAAAAACCACCTCCTGTTTTCCTGGTGTTTAGTATTTGACCGAATAATAATTCAAAATTAGGTATTTGGCTGAACAGAAAAAAAATATAATAATAGCTGAAAGCCGACTTTCCAAATTGCAATTTTAATAATAACACTTTCCTCACAAAATGCAACAAAATAAAGTCTTCATTTAAATAGAAAAATAATCATGAAATTTTTGTTTGTTTTCAATCTAGATATTTATAATGTGAGCTTTGCTGTAATTACTACCATGCACAAATAAAAAATATACCACTAATCCTAAGGGCATTTGCGCACTGCATCCAATTCGTATTTGTTCCGAATCTGAGGCTATACAAATCTAGAAAACTCGGACCCACTTTGGATGTTGCTTGTGCACTAAGTCCAATTCGAATCTGAGAAATTACAAAAATCACTTGTACATCTAGAGATATAATGATCCCTGTAATGTTTCAGACCATCATTTCTTGGATTCAGAACTAATACGAATCAGACGTAGTGCACAAACACTCTAAGACTTTTATTTATTTTCATTGTTACTTATTTTGAATTTTATGACACCACCACATCCCTAGTTGCCTATTAATAATATGGCACACAGATATAGATACAATAATGATCAGTCTATTTAGGACATCAAAAAGTTAAGCACAATGACTTCATTGGTGTTCTCGTTATTGTTTGAGAAATGAGTCATCACCTAACGAATCTAGGTTCAGATTATTTTGCAAATTGATAAGTTTATGTAAAAAATATCTCGCCCACCTTTTTGCTCCTGTAAGGCATTGGCTCTCTTCAGATATTCTTCAACTTTTCGCTTTACTTCAGCCTGCTTTTCGGCAGGAAACCTATCCCGAATCCGGTCCAACAACCTGGCAGCAGTTCTATAGCATTCTACAGCTTTGTCTATTTGCTTCAACTGATCAAATCTCACAGCAAGAGACGCTGCTTCTGTAGCATTCACAAGATCACCCATTTTCTTTTATTTCACTTACAAAAACATCGCAAAATTCACAAAATTGCCAAAAAATATGCAATTTCAAGATTTTTTGGTTGACATGACACTTTCCTTTTAGTTCAAAAATGCTACGCATTAAAATTCATTAAATATACATAATTAGTAGACAGACACCATTTCCATAACTTTGATACAAACAATTGCGCTACGTGACGGCGATGCAGACAAAAAATTGAACATCTTCTATATTCGTTCAGTAATATTTCAAATGTCAATATTAGAGATGAATGGATTTTATTTCATTTTATCGATACGAATAAATATTTCAAAACTTTTCATTTACGTTATGTAACATTTGGAACATTCAAAACACTTCTTTCTATCGTCGGCGATCTGATCCGTGATACTTTAACCAAACTCATAAATCCCCCTTTGAACGACTGCTCGCTGGCATCAAACCTCACGACCAGTCTGATTCGACGAACTAGGAATCAGAAACATTTCCAGAGTAGAGTACTACCCTTGCTTGGATTCGGTCGAGCTAACATATTTCACCGAAACCAGAAGCACCTGGGCCTCCAAATATCGCGGTAGTGGTCATTTCCACATCAACAAAAAAAACGTATTATCGATTTCATTTGAATCGATTTTACCTGCAAGTTCAACTAAACCTCACCTCTAGAATCAGTAAATTTTCGATTCCAGAGACGTCTCTGGTGGATTGCATATTTTTTGCAATTTACCTTTAATATATTGATTATATTTATTAATTTCATTACAAATTTTGTGTGCAAAATATTTTTCACTTAGTGCTTTGGCTTCCAACAGTGCAGTGCTGTTATTTTTCTAGAGAAACCCGAAGAAAATGGCTTCAGATGTATTGGCGAACGCGGGATCTGAAATTCGCGAGAATCTGGTAATTACAGAGATTGCGTTAGTTGATTATCCTTACCTCTACAGTCAATGTTAAATTATATTAAATGGCACCAATGGTATGCGATGTTTCGTCCGTAAACTTTATACAATGACCTTCGACCATTCTTTACTTCTACGGTCTTTATTTCTTTTTTCAATTTACAAAGCGTTGGTAAATAATCGAAGGCTGTTGTCGAGCTATGTTTGTCAAGTTATGCGATTTTATTCAGTTACCTATTCTTAAAATTTGAATTCAAATTAAGAAGCAAAATTTCAACGACGATAATTAATAGTTTCTTATTCTCCACAGAGTATCCTCATGAACTCTTTTAATCACTATAGAGATAATTTGGTATTGGACGTGAATGGCCTCCCAATGTTGAATAGGTTTCTCTCATAGCATTGTAGTTGGTATAAGTAGCCCATCTCAAAGCTAAATAAGAACAAAGACTGTAAATTCTACCATGATACAGACGAGAGGCCTCTGCACCTTTTTTTTAAATTTATTTGATGACCATGGATTCAAGTCCTTTAGTCAAAATATTGGAGTAATTAAACACAAAAAGATATTTAAAGCCCTACATCAATGCTGCCTTAAGGGCATACACTCCTACCCTCTGCACAAAGTTTGCCCCAGTCAAAGGAAATTAAGAAGTTGAAGAAAAGTCTTTTATGTCTTTAATCCTTTCGTTCTTAGCTCTTAGTAGAGGTATTAACAAATGTATTGGCCATTATATACTGGTTGCAGTGTACAACATGTATAACACACAACACTTACACCTATGCAACTTCTTTGTTTCTCTCTGTTGTTCTCTGGTAAGCATATCAGAGTTATATATTATTCTTTACATCATTAATTCAGGTTCATTACAATTTTAACAAAAACTAATTATTTTAATTATAACACGTGAAAAACCATGTTCTTATCAATTTGTGCTAAAGGCGATATGTGCTAGAACTCTTAAAAACTATCAATGCGTAGAAAATCCTACACTATATTGCGTCTTGTGCCTTGATTCCAAAATGCAATAAATGGGGTTCACAATAACTTCATTACTGCTCCCTTTCAACAGCTTCCCAAATGTTAACTATAGCTAATAATTTAACAAAACTATTATTATCATTGTTTCTCTATACTCCAATTTTTTTTTAATTTATTTTTTAATAAAGCCTACATCACTTGGATGTCTCCACACTGCAATGGAAGAGGTCTTACATCATACTACAAGGCAACACCTCCCACAGGTGTGACTTACACAGTTAGAATAATCCACTTGGATTGGCATTATAAGGCCGTTATTGAGTCATGGTTACTCATATCGTACAAGACTTATTAAAAAACAAAATTTTAGAAACTAGTTAGGTTTTCGTGATTACTACACATTGTAAACTATTGCGGAACCTGCGAAGAACACAAAATGCTTGTGTTTTGAAATTCGAACAAAAAAGATAGATAAACTCTTTATTGCTATCATACATACAAATAAATACAGCACATAGACAACTTAAAAGTAATGTGAGCAAAGGTGGCCTTATCGCTAAGAGCGATCTCTTCCAGTCAACCATACTTCTTATAAAATTTTTCATTGTTTTGTAAAATTGGATAACAATTGAAATAGTCCAATTGTGGTCTAAACTGAAACGATAATTAAATATTTTTATTATCAGTATGTTTCACCACTATAATATTCATATCTTTCACTACCATGTATTCATTCATTCATAATATTCAATATTTTTTTGTGAAATTACTCCGCTAGTTTTGTTATAATTATTAATACAAAGATGGAACACTTCGTATCGGACGGATAAAATCCAAATAACTTTGCATATTGGTTTTGATTTCATATACTTCATGTTTATTCACTACGATTAAAAGACTTGAAATAATTAATTTTAAACCTATTTGTTTGGCTTTTAACCCTCCTTTACAAATATGTTGACCCTTGAACCTGAATTCATTGCCTTTAATATGAGGTTCTCTTGTATTGGATTGTTTCTTACTTATCAAATATTTATAGATGAACTCTATTGTTTTTTTAAGTATAATATAAAATCGATCATATAAAACTTTCATTGTTATTATTCACATAGCATTATGAACCATTCATCCAAGTTATCTAAACCTCGGTAACTAGATATGTTAGCACAAAACATGCTTATTGTGTTTAGAGTTTTTACATTACTATGCTTGTTTCATTCAATTCAGATTATAAAACTAGACTAGTTAAACAATAAAAAAAACGTACACACTATCACAAAAATGGTCCAGATTTACCTGATATTCATGATAAACTTACATCACAAGCGTAAATTAAACTTGTTAAAAGAGATAAATGAATTCGTCAGTGCATAGAAAAATTCTCATTTTTGAACGAGTCATGTTGTTTAAAAAATGAAGATGTCCCCATTATTAATCTCTTGAATATTCCTCCAATATTTTCAGTATAAATTAATTCTTATTCCATCTTCTATGATAATTTTCCGCATTTGATGTTAACACCCGTTCATATCAAAAGTTCATGTTACTGAACGAAAATGATGAATAACGTCGATTATTTTAAACATACTAAAAAAATTTATTAGGACTGTACATACATATGATTGGTTTGATGTTGAGGCCATTTAATGATTGATGCTGACTGCTTTTTTTCACTAAAAGTTGTTTTGTTAAGTTGATCACCACCTAAAATAATGATCGCCGCATGTTTTTGTTACAACCTTTGTAATTTAAGCATTGTTATATGAATCTGTGGGTGCTACAACTTGCTTATTGAAAAATAAAGTAAAAAGTTAGAACATGAAACAATATATTCGTTTATTAACTTACTAGCTGAACAGCGTTGTTTCAATGCTGTTGAAAAAAAATTGGCTACAAAAAAAGAAGTCACGAAGTGGAGAAGTACATCTGCAAAAGAACCTTTTTGGCTATAGACACATTTGCCTTTTTTTAATGGCGTAAGGCTTCATTTTCAATAGGAGTTTCGAGACGGTTTAAGTAGCTGTAACGCCATGCAAATAATATTGTTTTAAATAATTGATGCCTGACTGAATGACGAAATACTTTCATAGATTTCTCATAGATGGCGCTACGGCTAAAAAGTCATTAAAAACCAGATACAACAAGCACATAGAAAAATTCGTAAGGTCCACTGGCTCGTTTCGTGGCTTAGTTGGCATAGCGTCTGGCACGGTTAGCTAGAAAATGTCGGTTCAAATACGGTCGGATCGAAGGATTTTTTCTAAGTGTTCGATCTTATTAATAATTTTTTAAATTTCACAAAAAATAATAGACTATTAAGGTGGTGAAGCATCCTGACATTTTTAAAACGTCCTGACATTCAATAAACACTTAATATTGTTTTATTTACAATCAAAATTTAAAAGTGAATTAAATATAAATTCATCAATTTCAATTATAATATCATTTCTTATTTATTACACGTGTATATGGATCACTATACTGTCCTCGTAACGAAAAAAGGCACGACGTACTTTATACAGCAGTTGTTGTACATAGGGCGCACTGTATGTTTCCGGAACTGGGCACTTACATAAACAATATTTAAAAAGTAATTACAACATTTAAAAATGGAACTCTTTGGCTATAGAATACAGTTTGTTTCATCTGACTGTCTCTTGTTTTTACATTGTGGCGTCATTTTAGAAATTGGTTGTCTACATCACCATGGATTTAACTCGTGAAAATTAGTATGTAGTATCGTAGTATGATTTTCTACGACTTCAAGTGTAATTTAGCAGCTCGGCTCGCTCGGCTTCTACTGCTGCACTGCTTTTGGCGATGAAGCACCACGCAAGACGACTATTTATAGCTGGATTGCAGAATTCAAACGCGGTCGTGTGAATCTCAGTGAGGAATTTCGTGATGGTCACCCGTCCACTGCTGTGAACAACAAAAACATCGATACTGTGCGTCGCATGATCAAAACAGACAGGCATGTGACATGCCATGAGATTCGGGCATCTTTAGGCATAGGCATGAGTCAAATACAATCAATACTACACAAACATACAACATTAGGGTGTGAAAAAGCTGTGCTCTCGGTGGATCCCACACAATTTGACTGAAGGTCAAAAAACGGGTCGCGTCACTTGGTGCAATGCCATGCTTACCCGATTCAAAGAAGAGGCGTCAAATTTGGTGTGGGACATGGTAACAGGAGACGAAACATGGACTTATAGTTACGATCATAAAACAAAGCAGCAATCGAGCGTATGGGTCTTTCGAGATAGCCGAAACCAACCAAAGTGGCGCGCGTGGAAAGTGCCTCTAAGCGGATGATTGCTTCTTTTTTTAATAAAACTGGACACATGGTTACTGTTGCTTTGAAGAATCGTTGTACCGTGAATAGTGACTTTTTGATTGTTTGCCGGAAGTTATTGACAAACTCCGTATAAAATAACCGTAAACGCCATATCATCTTGCACCACGATAATGCCAGTTCACACACAGCCAGACAGACAAATGAATTTTTGAAGGTGAACAACGTTGACCTTATGAGCCATCCCGCGTACAGTTCCGATCTGGCACCTTGTGACTTTTATTTATTTCCAAAAATTAAGAACCAGTTACGTGGTCAACGAATTTCATCACCTGTAGAGGCTGTCGTATGAAAAATATGTTTCAGAGATTGTCATGGAGGAGTGGCATAAATGTTTTCAAAATTGGTCCATTCGTATGACAAAGTGCATTAACGCTAACGTATATTTTGAGAAACAATAAATCATTTCTGACCATTTATAGTATTTTTTTCTTATTCATTCCGGAAACTTATAGTGCGCCCCACGCAATGCTTGCTTATACGATACGTCACAAATATAAATACACACTAATTCGAAAAATCTTTCTTCAAAATTGTTCTTTAGGCCGCAAATTCGTAACGATGGGTGGGTGCTTTCAGCGGGGCGTTCAAAGTTTGAGCGTACATTATGGGCAAACGTGTGTCTTGTCTTGAACCCCGAAAGCCCCGCAGCAGGGGGTATACTCCCTTTCTTCGTCCAACATCCGTCCCAAACAATTACCATCACATATGTAATAAATACTGAACCAAATAAAAAAGGCTCTTCTTCTGATTTGATCGAGTATTACTTATTTGTCAGTAATTGTATTGGACGAATGTCGGTGTGAGAACGGGAGTGGACACCCAGCATGCTGATTTTGATTCAAATCGGGGTCGATCTGATCGGGTAACCCATCCGGGTCTCGAAATCAGATGAGTTTCCGAGCCAGAAGATGAACCTGATTCCTACTATATCTTTCTAATTTGTTATTTAAATCAACTATTGTTCCTATTTGAAATGTCAAAAGTTTCCGTTCGGCCATGCGCCTCGACTCGGAAGAGACGCAATTTCCGATCGGGAAAGGCCATTGACTTACAAATAAATGGACGACGGGTCTAATACAAAAACCACGAAAAAAATGTCCCAAGTCAACCTTTTTAAAAAAAATTTAAATTGTAATGTCATCGCAGTATCGCGCTGTCAGTCGAACAAATGAAGACTAAAGCGGAGTTTGGCGCTCTGTATACGATTTTAGCGCCTTACAAGTGCGGACACTTTTTAGCGCGGACCCGACGTCCATATAATTGTAAGTCAATGGGAAAGGCAATCAAAATCAAATTGCTGGTGCGAATTTGCGGCCTCACTGTCATAGCGTTCCAAAAAGTGACAGTATAAACCTATGGCTAAAATTAAATTTTATTGGTATGCGTTCCATTATTATTCATCCTGTTGCGATAAAACTTTCGTGAGTTGTTGTGCTCACTCTCACAAAAATTAAAAGATGAATACACCAATTTATTGTTTTAGCAAATTGTTAAACTACCAGTAGAGCTCCATGTGAAAGAGTTCGTCCAGGAAAGTACTGCCATCTTACTTATTTCTGCCGCCAAGCAGTAGGTAATGTGAGCATTACTGCGTTTTAGTTTTGAAGGGTAAGCGTGCTGGCGAATTATAGGCACATGGGATTTGTCAACTCAAGTCTCAGGGTGACGGGTCCAGTGACAGTGCCCCTCAGATCTTTGCGATTTATATCATTGAGTGACACTACAACTGCCATGAACAGGCGTGTTCTATACCTTTGTCTTACCACTCGCACGATTTGCTCGTCCCGTCACTTGATAACTTAAAAAACTTCAATACGTCGCAAGAAAGTATTTTGTATTTTATATATATATTTTTCCAGGTAACGACAGCCGTTAAGTTCCTGCAGAATCCAAATGTACAGCGGTGCACCATGGAGAGCAAGGAACGGTTTCTACGTAACAAAGGTCTTACAGACTTAGAAGTACATAAGGTAATTATTTGATTCTCCATTGGATACAGAAAAATATAACCCACATCCTCGCCAATTGGAGGTTAGATACCGAAAAATGTAACCCATATATGGAGAGGATATGGGTTATATTTTTCTGTATCCAATGGAGCAATAAACATGTTTGACATAACTCCACTAATGCCATTCTTCTATGAGGAATTATTACATGCTGTCGTATATTTACCAAAGTCGTTAGTGACATTAGCAACTTTTTTTTATATATAATAGACACACGCTTGGCCACAATCTCACCTGATATTAAGCGACGATGGGACGCGTTTGCCTAAAAAATGCCTATTCACTCTAGCCTTGAACAGCCCCAAATTGTACTTTTCGGGAAATATAGAGCATTCCATCCCTTAGCCGTACGCATCAGAAATCTTGATAGTAGTAATACGGGAAAAGTATTATTGCCCGTACTACTAGTGGTAGTACCACGGACAAAAACAATTACCCGTGATACTACTACGTCTGTCGGTAGTTACACGGGAGATTATTATTGCCCGTGTAACTACTAGGCCTGTCGGTAGTTGCACGTGAGATTATTATTGCCCGTGTAACTTATAAGTAGTTCTGCTGGTAGTACCACGGGCAACAAAGGTATTTTTCTAGGCCGTAATTTTAAACACTTTCTGAAAAATGGCTTCAGTGCTGGTCTGTGCTTTTCGCTGGTCTGTGCTTTTCGCTGTTTTCGTTGGTTATTTTTGTGATTAAATCCCACAAAGTCAAATTGATTTTACGTTCGTCTTTTATCGTCACTCAATTATTGTTATCAGACTATTACTACTGACGACCTCTGTGGTTCCGTAGGTAACAATCTAGGCGCTTGTTGAAGAAGATCCCCCGGGTTCGATTCCCGGTAGGACCAAGTCACGAGACAAACTTTCTAAATATTTTTTAACGCTTAGCCCCGCACTAGGGAAACCCTGTATCGCGGATGGCGGACACAAATAACATAACTTAACCACAAATTACACCCAAACTCACGAGAGAAATAAATGTAGACCATACAAATATTTCTCACGGCCCGGGAATCAAACTCACGATCTCTGCATGGCAGTCCAGCATGGTAACCGTTCGACCACGGAGGCAGTTTCAGTGAGAAATTGGTTCTGGTATGGGCAGTCTGGGTAAACCCCTCAGTCTATTTCGTCAAAAAGAGGGGGGTTATAAGTTTGAAGCCTTTGTCTGTGTATCTTTATATGGGTTTTCCAATAAGGACATAACAATTTTGTATTTCAATAAAACACTGAGTAATTAGGATATCGACCGGAATTTTATTCCAAGTGCAGTAACCATGTTACATTTAAGAATGGAATTCGATCTCGTTCATATGGCTACCGCGAGCACGTTTGCCGCGGTCACACAGCTGGTCAAACAATCGATCTATTGAAGACAAGTTCGATAAACCGCGAAATGGTCCGGTCGAATGGCCACCTCGCTCATGCGATCTAACTCCGCTGGATTACTTTTTATGCGGTTACGTTAAGTCGTAGGTTTATGCCAACAAGCTAACAACGTCAAATGAGCACAGGAACAATGTCAAACGCAAAATTGCCAACGTTTCGGCCGATATGTGTGAACGAATGGGCTCCAAAGAATTGAACGAGATCGAATTCCATTCTTTAAATGTAACATGTGTACTGCACGTGGAATAAATTTCAACTCAATAACTCAATTATTCTGTGTTTTATTGAAATACAAACTTGTTATGTCCCTACTGAAAATCCCCATATCTGATACACGCATCGTCGTAAAAGAAATGGACTGATCTCAAAATGTTTTTTTTTAATCTGAACGCTAATTTAATCAGGATGGTTCATGTGAACTTTTGAGTAGGCACAAAAAACAGAATTACTAGAAACAAATTGTATAACAATTTACGATTATACCCTTGTTTTATAACTAAGAGAAGGTGTACTAATTATGTTTTTTAAGCTTTAATTGCCTGAAGTTACGCTTGAAGAGTAAAAAAGAGATTTTATCCAGAAACGTAATTACGAGGTTTTCAAATTCAGCCGACGGTGGCTTTGTTTGATGAAGGCGATGAATGTTTTCTAGTTAGTGTAGGGATATCCCTACACCGCCACACCCCAAAATAAAGCAGTGTTTTTTGACGATTGACCGGTTGTTTTACTTCATTATTTTAAGTCTAATTAGAAAAAAAAATTTTGTTTGTCATTTTTTTTCATGCATCATCATCAAACTTGAGAGCATTCTTGTCGGTGGAGTCTGTGGAATGTCTTCCATAAGTCAGCTCCCTGTCCTCCTTATATGATACGACACCGGCCTTTTCCTTTATTATATTTCTATGTAGCTGCGCCTATTTCGATCTCTTCCCCTCGATTTTTCCCTCCAAAATGGTCTTAAAGAAGCTATCAAATGTGCACTCTTTTTCCGCGTCAATACTCTATAGTATTTTTATTATTTTTTTCATTAATTTGTTTTAATTTCCCACTAAAACAGATTTGTCGGTAGTTTTGGTTGTTTGTAAATTTCGTGCACTGTAGTTAAAAAAGTTTTATTTATTTATTAAACTTTGATTTAATCAATGTTAAACTAATACAATTTATAAATTTTTTGCTACAAAATCTTAAAAAAAAAGGATCATTTTATATATTTCGATTTTTTTTTATAAAAATTGAGTAAAGCTGTTTGTACCTACTACTAAGTTGATGTTAAAAGATGTTAATTTAATTGCTATTTTATGTCTAATCCTTATTGATTTTAATATAAACGTTACTATTTTATATTCTCACTTTTTTTAGTACCGCTATTTAGCGACACATTTGTGCCGGTGTGTTTAAATAAGACGCTTTTATTGATTTGAAGTGTCAGTTAAGTATAGTTTTAATTATGATTACGACGTTTAAACGTGACAGATAACATCTGTATTTACATAGTGCGACTTGACCTGCCACATTGTATGTTGTAAATTATCACGGAGAAGTGAGCAAGGTGAACCGAAAAATAAACTTGTTTTTTTTAACCGACTTCCAAAAAAAGTAGAATCTCAATTCGACTGTATTATTTGTGTCTGTTACGCGATTACTCTGGCATTTGTGAACCGATTTTGATGATTCTTTTTTTGTTGGAAAGAGGGTACCTCAGTATTGGTTCCGTTTAAATTTGAAGGAAATATTCCACCTCTAAAGGTGGCAAATTAGCTGATTAATCCGGTTTCGTGCACTTTCCGGTAACCAAATTCAATAGTACTTGGCAAATAGATGTAATTCTACGAACTTTAGAGGTTGAGTTAAGTTAAGGTAAGTAAGTTAAGGTAAGTTACTAAAAAAAGAAAAAAATAATTTGCAATTAGTTATTACTGTATTAAGTAGAAATGTAAATAAAAAATGAGAAACAATATGACGATGTACGGTAAAACCCAAAAGGGTTTATGTTACATCGTTTTAGTTCATAAGCTATTTGTAATCTGTTTTTTTTTTAAATAAAAAAATAAAAAAATAGTTATTTTTTTATAACATACATACATATACTTCACGCCTTTTTCCCATCGGGGTAGGCAGAGATAACAGTTTTGTTATTTTTTTATTTATTTATTTATTCAATTATAAATGGTGTAACCTGACGGTAATTGACCATAGCATTACGCCAATTTAATTTTAACAAAAAATAAAAATAAAGATAATACAAAAGAAAAATTAACAAAAATTAAAAACAAGTAAAAATCTTAAACAAAACATATTACTAATCTAAACTTAAATTAAATAACTAACTAATAAACTAAAATCCATCCTGTCTTCTCTCTAGCACTCTTTTCCATTCATTCAACAGTCTCGCTATCCCTGTCACAAATAGATCATATTGCGGCGTTGCTGCGAGTACGGAGTTGAGGAGAGAAGCCGCAGGTTTTATAAATAAGTTATAATTCTTTTTGTTGGTATTATAGTAAGCATTGTATTTATTATTTTTATGTCGTCGCATCGACTAGATTCGTAAACCTCGTAACTTCCATTAATATGGACTTTTGAGTTGGCACAAAAAACGGAATTACTAGAAATAATTATATGCCAATCTAAGATTAAATCTTTATGTTATAACTAAGAAAAGGTTCACAAATTATATTTTATAGGTTTATAGATGACGGTTAAATTTATATGCTTCTATTTTTTACAGGCTATAGAGAAATGCGCGGAGCTGTTAGACGTACCATCGATGACGTCAGAGCTCATGGTCTTCCACCAATCACGGCGGTCTTGGTTCAGAGAACAGTTCGCACCTATTCTAGTCTACGGAGGAATGGCATATGCTGCTTATTTGTTCTATAAGGTAAAAGTTACATAGATTTTTAAATGACTAATCGGTTACTTCATTGATTTATAATCTTTAACACGAAGCGCAGCAAGCGAAACTTTTTTGGCATCACCTCAAATTGAACCGTCTAAGAAAGGAATTATTCTGCCGTTTCTAAATCGATGTGTATCAAATTTGAAACTAGCATAAATATACAATTCGACGAAGCCACGAAGCCAGTTCAAGATCAACTACTGCGCAGTGTACTTATTTTAATCATCAATCCATCAAAACGTATCATTATCAGCAATCAAGCACATAATTTACTTATCAATTATCAAAGTATCATTTTATGAGATTACGGATACACCGTACAGCTCACATTTTGAATTTCAATCCTGTAGGGCTACCACAATAAGGCGCAACTCGCGCTAATCTCTGCGATAATAGCCGTGTATCACGCTTTATGTCGCTCTCGCGCTAATCGCGCCCGCTAGCCCTACTCATGTATTAAGCTTATGAAAAAATATTAAATACGCGTGTCGATGTAAAAATTGTGAAAAACACACTGCAACATTTTTATTTAAAAAAAAACTGTCTTCAAAACTTTATTGTCCTCTATTGTTGTATCCTCAACGACAATTGAAACGCATGTAGAAGTTTTTGTTTTTATATGATATTATAAAAGTCCTCCTCAAAACGAATCGTGTGAGCCCAAACACAAGGGTAGATGATGTACACCATTGAGAAGTTGCTCTCACGTGTCTGCCATTTCCATCAACAAATCACATGACATTTTATTTTCATTGGAATTACATAATTTTGCTAAAATCGGTTAACAGAAAGCTGGTGAAATTAAATAAACTGGTTCATCCCCTAATTTGCTACCCTTAGAGGTACAATATTTTCGTCAAATGTAAATGGGGCCATTTCTAAGGTACCCGCTTTGTAACAAAAAAAGAACCACAAATGTTGGAGTAGTCACGTAAGTAATATGCAAACAAAAAAACTGTTGATTTGAGAACATCCTCCTTTTTTCAAGTCGGTTAAGAAAAAGGTAGACTGCTGCACTTTGATAGGAAATCGACATTTCGCCTAATTTATTTTTTTACTTCTTAGTGGGTAACGATATTAGTAAACATACTTGCGTACATACTTATACCCACGCCTTTGGATTCCAAAGACCATCACATACACAGTTTGATATAATTTAAAATATTAATGTCTCAAGCTATTTGTTTTCTTGTATTATTATTTTGACATATTGCATATCATTTTGACATTGTATAATTATCATTATTATATTGCCCCCATTCACTATCACAGCGTTTAAATTATTGGCCTACATATTAAATCCGTGTGATATTTTATCCAAATCGTTCTAGGTTGTGTTTTGTATGAGAGGAAAACAAAATTTCACGAATCGAATACGTTCGACATTTTCTGTATCCCGTATAATGTCGGACAATGAAATTTCAGACGTAATTTTTTACTATCCTGTATACTTCGGCTGACAATCTTTAACATCGATCAATAGATGAGCTTGTCATTCTGTAACAACTTTTATTAACGACTAGAGGTGGGTGATAAATAACGTCACGATGAAAAAATCACGATGATCCGCCGTCAAACGGTATCACCGTGACTCGTTCCGAAGGAACGACATTCCAAAGTCACATAGGTGTTCCTCCGTTCCATAACTATCCCCGTCACTCACATCACGACATAGGTATTTGATACAATGCGCGATCTCCGTTCCGTGGTGACTGAGCGCGCCACGCGTTGTAGTTTTAGCCGTGGGGCGACGGCTTAAGAATACATTGTCGCCTCCCCATACATGCCCGTGGGGGTCGTAAGAGGCGACCGAGGGCGTCACAAGTGTCCATCTGCTTAGCATTGTGGTAGGCTCTGTGCCGACTGGATAGCGACCACAGTACACACGGCGGAAAACCCTCCACAGTGAAACGCTTTTGCGAATCGCGTTCAGGGATCAGTTGGTGTACATCCAGTGCATTTGGCCAGACCGGCAAAATGATAGTGACGGAGTGAAGATATTTGTGTTTTCCATCCGTTACTCTCATCTCTGGACTGTATTCGCACTTTCCATCAGGCGCGGTGCAGTCATTTTGTCGAGTCGCAATAAAAAAAAAAAAAAAAAAAAAAAAAAGTGTTCTCTTCAAATCGGGCCATTTCGGCGATGGGAGTGCGTGAGATAGGATGACTTTCTTTGCTCACTCACAAGGGTCGTAGGTGCTTATTACTACTAGAAAGGGCAGATGAAAAAAATCTGCAGCAGTTATTATAAACCTGTTTATGAACAAAATTAAATATTTTTGTATATTTGTTTTATTATAGGAAGAGTTGGTGTTTTATATTTATGTACTTTGTGTATTCTACTAGAAATATAATTACATTACATTTTATTGCTATTTTTAACAATCCAAAGATTCGCGTTAAATAAGTAACAAACAAAATTATATTAAATACAAAATCAACTTTTTGAATGGAATTTAAACTTATTACAAACGGAGCAAAAACTAAATCATTCTATAAAAAACGGCTATAAGTATTAGAAAGAAGCCGCTGGCTAAAACCGTATATCGTGATGTAAGTTATAGGCGTGACAAGGTCACGGAAGTAACAGTGGTGACAAAATCACGATGATTTATCACTGTGATTCTTTTGGAACCGTAATGACAGTCACGGCGATAGAAATGTAACGCTATTCCCCATGTCTATTAACGACCCTACAACGACGCATGTACAGAATAAACTATATTATAATTAATATGGCATAATTAATTTGGTAGCAAACCATAATAAAAAAGCATTTTAGTAAATCGAATTGTAAATAATAAGTATGTAATGTAAAATGTAAGTGTGAGTATAATGCTCATTGTCTTAATTTTGAGGCCCAACGTGAAACTATCAAAATTAATTTATGCAAATCAAAGATTTCTTGCATAACTCAGAAAAAAATAAAATATCCATTGATTTAATTTATTTTACATCTCAGAGAAAAAATATCAATCATTAAAAAAGATGACCGTTTAGATTTTTTTGCAAATTTAAAGTGACGATTAAATACATACCCTTAAGAAATAGGCAATTTAGATTTCTGTGTGTGGCCGTCTATAGGTGAATTTATAAATTTATATGTATATTTGTTTCATTTTAAACCTTTTCAAGATTATCTTATACTGTAATGTTAATTGTAGCTTTGTAAAGGGAAATGAATGAAAATGTATCCAAACGTTACATCAAATAATTTGTAACCCGGAACAGCACATTACTCTTATGTAAAACACAATTGAACAGTCATTATTGATTATTATAATAATTATATTATTTATTATTACAAATCATTATTTATTATTATTATCATTTTTTTTTAAATACGCTCACACTCATAGCCCCGCACTGGGGAAACACACAAACTCACGAGAGAAATAAATGTACAAGTATACAAGTTTTACTAGCTCCTTGTGAAATTGTTCGTCCAGGGAAGTAGTGCCACCTTACCTATTTGCCTAATGCTCACATTACTGCGTTCCAGTTTTGAAGGGTACGGGGCTGGTGAAATTACAGGCACATGGGACTTGTCAACTTATGCCTCAGGGTGACAGACGCAGTGGCAGCACCTCTGATCTTTGCGTTTTAAGGCTCTGAGTGGCACTGCAACTGTCATGAACAGGCATGTCGCGTACCACCAGGCGCACGGCTTGTTCGTCCCGTCAATTGGTATTATATAAAAAAGAAGTATTTCTCCCGCAGCGTGGTAACCGTTCGGCCACAGAGGCAGTTGAAAGTAGATATTATAATACCTGCCGCACAAAGGGCATATTTTTTGATAGGGTAGTCAGACCCAGAGTAAGGTACCCAGTGTTACAAGTATTGGAGAGTATGTGGATTATATTTTTCTGTATCTGATGGAGCTATAAACATGTTTGACGTAACTCCACTTATGCCATTCTTCCATGAGGGGTGCGATTTAGTCGCAAGCATTTTTTTCATTAAAAGTAATATCTAAATTTCAGGAAATTGTACCTTATTAGCCATTTTCTGATTTAGACAAATTACGCTCAACGTTTACCGAACTGGATAGCGGTACTAACTTAAAACGTGTTTTAAGTCACTCTTTCCCTGATCTCTTCATATAGTAAGGCAAAAATATGACGAAAATATATTTTCAGCATTTCATCCGACAACTTCTCTTCGTGACGGAACCAAAGAAAAAATCAACAGCAGAATGCATCGACGAGCTTCGCAAGTCGTTGGACATATTAAACACGAGCGTGGCGTCTCTGCGCTGCGATATGCAAGCGCAGGCGCATCAGAACCTTACGAGATCACAGTTGGACAATATCAAATCGGATATTGCGTCGGTCAAAGGAATATTGCTTAATAGGTAAGAAACGGGTTGTAAAGCGTTAATATTGGTCACGGTATTGTACAGTGCAGAACACGGCGATCTTCGCGCTTAAAATTTAAATTCGCAATTCTGTAATAAGGCCCTAATCAACTTTTCAATAGCATAGTTATAACATTTAATACGTACATAAGTTGTTTAATGTAGTACGTTTTATTTTTATAAATAATATAAAAGTCGTCTTTATTTAACATGTGTCTGCAAAATACATTAGAAACAATTATGAAATATTAAATAATTCCTTCATTAAATACAAAAAAAACGTTAAAACATATAAACAAAAAAGCCCGGTCGTGCATAGAGTACTACTGCCACTTTTGGGATGGCTCTGCTACATACCAACTGGTCACCTTGGATTCAACTGACAAGCGTGGCAAGATGCTTATAGGTAACTCGGAATTAGTGGAGGCGAAGCTGCAGAGCCTTGAACACCGCCGTAAAGTTGCCTGCTTATCGATATTTTACTGGATATGTCACGGAGAGTGCGCGATGGAATTACACTATTTCATTGCGTCTTCCCCTTTCCATCACCGGGGGCCTAGACGTAGGCTTGGGTTCCACCCTCATGTTGTGGATATTCCAAAACTTCGCACAAAGCGTTACGCTTCCACATTTATATGACGAACGGCTATGGAGTGTAATTCCCTGCCTGCAGACTTGTTCCCAGAACGTTATTGGGCTTTTTCTAGGCGAGACTGATTAGGCATTATTTAGGTATGCAAGCTCCATCGTCGACCTCATCGCCACTTTCCGTGATATTAAATGTGCTCTTACATACATTTAAAAAAATGTCAAAAACGTCCACGACTCAGCATCTGAGGACTATGCTAATTACGTAAATAATCAAATTGAGTAATAACAATAATATTAAATTGTACAATACTAAATATACACAAATACACAGAACAGATACACAGACACAAGCTACTTTGCAAAACCTGCGTCCCGAAATTGCTTTTCAAACAGCCATAGAAAACATTTTCGTTTAAAGAGATTGCTAAACATTTTTAAACATTTTCGATTAAAAATTGGTAGTGCTTGAGACACTGCCGTCCGTAAAGTAGGAGGAAGGTCGTTCCAAATTTTGATACGGAACGTTTGAAGCAACCCCAGGTAGCTGACAAAGATATTTTCAACATATGACTCGCATGATAAAAGCACTTCACGTATGATTACAAGTGGCTTTGTTATATGAAGGATACAAATTCAACTCAATTCTTAAGTGTACTTATGATCCGATCATTTCTGTACAATCTACGGTATTTAATTTAAGTAAATGACTTTCCCCCTCTAAAGGCCGTACTGCATGCCACAACAGGCGTAAGGGAATTTTCGTACCTTTGCAACATCATTTGGACTTACCCTTACATATACACTCATACGACATACGAAATGACCGAGGACCAGTGGCGGATTTGCCCTAATGCCCTGTAGGCCCGGGCCTAAGGCGGCCAGATTTTAGGGACGGCCAATCGTGACAAAAAATTTACTAATAACAAGAAATAACTCAAAGTACCTAAATATTCTAAAGGCTCGCGTGTATCATGGCGAGCCTCACTGCACCGCATCGTATAACAATGATCTTCCTAAATTACTTTCGTACATTTTATGTATAAAATATAGATATGTTACATATCTATAATGTAATGTATAATCACTACCGCGTCTGTCTGTCTTTCTGATCGCGATAAACTCAAAAACTACTGAACGGATTTTCATGCGGTTTCCACCAATAGACAGAGTTATTCATGAGAAAGGTTTAAGTGAATAATTTATTTAGGTTTTGTGTAAATTGGCTGAAATATGACGATAAATGTTGAAGATGTCGGAAAATATCATGCCGGCTGGGCGCATTACCAACGTGCGCCCCGTGAACTAACAGAGATATATTAAATCAATGTCCTAAATAGTACATTTCTGAATTAAACTCAATAAAAGTTGGCAACAAAGTAATAATAATAACGCACACACTCTACATAGCCCCGCACTAGGGAAACCCTATGTCGCGGGTGCCATGGACACACACATAGACAACCACAAATTACACCCAAGCTCACGAGAGAAATAAATGTAGGTCATAGAAATATTTCTCCCGGCCCGGGAATGGAACCTGAGACCTCTGCGTGGCAGTCCGGCATGGTAACCGTTCGGCCACGGAGGCAGTTTCATCAAGTAAATTCATTATGTAGTCTACCAGTATATGATGAGTGCTGAGAAAGGGGCGGCTGGTACTGACTACATGGCCTGGTGGAGCCTAGGTCGGCCAAGACTGCAAATCCCCCCCGTTCAGCGTGTACTCGCGCAGATTCTCTCCAACACCAGGCTCTTCTGGCGGAAGTGTCCAGTAGCGTTCTGAGCCGAGGCTCTGACACGCTACTTAAATTTTTAAACGCGTTAAAAACATTCAGTTCGCCCTATTGTCCGGAGGTGCAGTCAATGCCATCAACAAATAACTGTTGTCAAAAAAATCGATGCTTATATGATACCTGTATGTGATACTATGTTACGTAAAAGGAATCAACCCTTATAATTGATACTACTTTCGCTCGGCATCATAAAAATAAAGGATGTTCTTTTTCCACATTTATAAACGATACCGGTCGTATAAAAAATATACGATACATTTAATGATAATGTCTAAAGAATGTGCTAAAGTATTACACGATAGGATGTACTTTATTCGATCGTATAAAATTCTGAAAACAGGTTGAAATTAAAGTCTAAAACTAATTATTTATGAATAAAGTATCTAACTTTGCACATAATTTTTATAAGAAGACATTTCTCTTTGAGTACTACAGAGAACCTGCAAAATTTTGGTTTTTGAACTGAATTCCTATTAGTCATTACATTCAAATTTATCCCAAAATTTGCCAGTCTGTTGCCCCATCAGTCGTCATCGGACGCTAGTCGACGTCGGATCTTTGTCAACTTTTCTCCGCCTGTTCTTATTTTATTCATATTATAACGCGGGAAATCTCCCACTTTACCGCTCCACGCATGGTGACTCCACCTGTGAAGGAAGGGAGAAACTCTTCCTTCGGTTCGCGAGAAAACGTTTTACTAGCACGTTTTCGAGTGTAACTTATCGTGTATTCTGTACTAAATGTTTGTAAAGTGTCAAAAGTTGCTAAAAGTTTTTTCTCCTACAAAGCCACGGAAACAAAAGCTGATGGAAACAAACACCCATCACAATATTAATTTACAACGCGCGGATTGCGGGACGCGAGGGGCGACCCCCACACCTCACCTCCTAATATCTAGGCTCGCGTTTCGCGTTGAAATGCCTCGCCTTAGTACTATTTTCTAGTTCTTCTTCTTTTAAATGTTATGGCCTCATCAAAGTTATCGATGATTTCGCCAATGTCCAGGTGAGGAACACACGCGTTTTTACTCAAAAATTGACCGGTGAATTTCGACAGAATTCACTGAGAGGAGAATCTAAGGGTCATATTCCAGAACTCTACTCAATGCTCAAATCAGGATTTAAGCAGACTTGAGTATGATTTTAAGCACTGGAATACGACCCTAATGGCAAGGACTTGAGTATGATTTTCAGTGATCACTGCAATACTCAAGTCCTGACTTGAGTATTGAGTAGAGTTCTGGAATACGACCCTAAAACTTACGAACATACGATACGTTATATTTTTTACTTCCTAGTTTCTGGTTAAATTCCAATTGTTATTGTTCGTTTATGCTATTGTATTAATTTAACTTTAAATGCTAATCTAATATAATATACTAGGTCATAACCTGCATATTTATTTTTTCAACGAGTAAATAAACTTGTATTCTTATATTTATAAGCTGTGGTACTTCTATGATTCTCACCATAAAATAAATATCGATTTTACAAATAGGACTACCAGGAACCTAGGTTCCTGTAGTCAGATCCAAAGATCTGACTTACCTTAAACCCATATAAAGTATGTTGTAAACTTCGTTTCAGGAACCAATTCCCCTCGCTAAAAACGCGTTCAGAGCCCCCCTCTATCCCAGCGTGGCAGCGCCAATCGGAAGAGGCCACCTCCACTGAACCCCCCGCTGAGGAAAAGAAGAAACCTCATAGAATCCGCAGTAACCGCTCAGAGTCAGGGGGATCCAATTCCAGTGAGGGAGAACAGGCTACAAAGAATAGTGACAGCAGTTTGGAAATTATGTGAGTGAAAGGGAGGGATATAGTTTTGTAAGTTAGTCTTTTTTTATGTTGTACTGATAATAGATAGGAAGATCTTTTTTTTTCTTGTTTGAATTACATATCGTTCCGATATATGGTGATAGAGGATGTGGATTGTTATTCTTTATTTTTATCTTGAACAGTAACCCAACCTAGACAATCCCTTGAACTGCGAGCAACGAAATTAACTCCGAGGACATTGCCCACAACACCCAGGCAAGAACCAATTTCAGAAATGTTCTATTCTAAATAATTCCTATCGAGAATCAAACCCTGAACCGTTTTTGATATTCGATAACGCCCAATTCGACAAAGAAGTTTTGTAGAGTACGTTTTATACCAATCAAAGCGCGCGTATTGCCTTGTGAGATTTAAGGCGCCTTCAATTAGAATCGCAGCTCTACCGTGTCAAACCAAGACACTGTGTAATATCAAAAACAGCATTTTGAGAAAATAATATAAAAAGCAATTTTGAAAAATAAGATATTGAAAACCTGTTTATAGGGTGTTGTAGATCCTATTATTCTTGGACATGCAGTGTTTTGGTTTTCTCTGAATATTGATCTGATGTTATTTTTACTTTAGTGTACTGTAAATTTACGTCAACAAAAGGTATTCATTTAAAAGCGAGCCTTATAAAAATGTTTTATGAAATACGATAATTAGGCACGTTGTTACAATGTTATATTTTGTAGAATTCCTATCCTATAGCCATATCTTTTGGAAGATGGAGTAAAATGACAGTTCATTGCTCAAAAGTGTTGCCCGCTTGCAAGCAACTAGTGATTGCAATCGATAAATATATAGATTATCGACTGAATGTTGGTTACGGTTATGAAATAAATAACGGAACTTGTTTCATTCGAATTATCGTCGGCCCATTATTCGTCCAACTGCTAATTTGAATTGTTCATTACACAGGTACACTAAATTTAGCAGTATGTGTATAACAAATACAAATATGAGACATTTTAAAATTTTTCATGTAAGTTTAATATACATAATCAAATATGCCAGTCGTTATTAAGATGTGTATGACTAAATTTCGATACTAATAGACGAACTGTCAAAATAAGATTAAAGAATGCAATAACGCAATTAGTAATTATTGGAACGTTGCAACTTTCACAAGGACATTTTTGGCGAAATTTTGCCTACTTTCACATTCTATCGATAAAACTGTCGACAACAATTACATGACTATTTAAAATTTTACGAAAACTGGCTACCCTACAAATGTCATTTTATTCCATCTTCGAAAAAGACAGATCTTAGATTATTTTTAGTATAGTAGTGACGCGACTGCAGCGCCAACGTGGTATCACTGCAACGCTTCTACAAGCGTCTACTTTGAAGGCACCTTTAGTCCTCCTCGCTCGTTTGCTACAACCAGGCGCACTTAACCTAACAATGTTTTCTTTTCTTTCAGAACATGAACTTCGTAATGATGCTGCTAGTCTTGTATAACCATTTGAAGACAACGGTGAGTCAGCTTAGTAGTAACATTCTCTATTAATTTGCCAATGTCCACACAATGTATACGGCTATAATGTTAATATATGTTTTGTTCGTAGAAAGTCTTATCTATTGGGGTTTTGTTTCATTTGCTCGAAACTTTATTTTATGTATTTTTATTAATGTGAATAACATATGAAACTATATTTTAATACGTCTCTTTGTAACATATTAAAAAAATTCGATGAAATGTTTTTTTGGGCAAGGCTAGTGTGTGAAGTAATTTTGAAATCGTGTATCATTAATTCAATAAAGATCATAACTTTCTTTTGAATACAGGTTGATTGTATGTATGTGTGGATCCCTCTCAAATAGATGTACCACCCATACATTTTGATCCATGGTGTATATGAACATTTTGTATGTGATCACTGTTTTTTTTTCACGTGTAATATTATAAAATAAATATTTATTGCATCATCTTTTCTAATCTTTTAGTAACAAAGACAACAACTGCGTCTTTGATTATTTTTTAAAATTTATATTTGTCTTAGTAAATCGATGAATCGATTCAGCGCACTCCGTTGTCAGTGAATTTGTTTATTACTAAGTACATGATTTCAAAATTAACTGATGGTTTTCTTAAAATTTATTGCCAAATTAACTTTATTTTAAATTAGTATTGTGTGATGGCTCGTTGACATAATAAGGTACCTTGGTATTAATTAAGATGTTGTACAGTTTTTTTAAGTGTTTTCCTTAGTACATAATCATGTATGATAGATAAACTACGGTCACTATATAATCGTCTCTGACAGTCGATAAATAGTTCACTTATTTTCTGCTCTTCCTTCTTGGGACAGGTTAGATGTGTAACCGGAGCATCGTATAGCGACCGTAGAATAGTTTTTAATTGAAATTTGTTATTTTGGGCTTAATTTGGATGCACCAAAGCGGCTGAAATTTATGATTTTTATGTAAAAATTTTGTTATTGCCAAGATTTTGCCTAGATTAACAAATGTCAGTAATTTTAGGTAGCAATTCGTTGTACCTTATGTCAAATATACAAAATACTCAATATGTACAATATGTAACATGTCACGGTGAAATAAATCATATTGGCCGTAGCAGTGTCTCCAAAATTGACATCTAACGGATAAACGCAGCGGAAGTACGCACAATAACGCTCTGTCGCAACGAGTATACATTACCAGCGGTGCTTTTCTCTGATCGTTAGGCTCAACTTATATTGCGGCGGAATGGACGCGAAGCGAATTTTTGTAACAATTATTAACTTTATGGTCAATTGTGTAACGTCCAAACTAGATACGAGGCACAATCTTGCGCGGAATTCTGGCGAATACGCGAGATTTTAATGTACAATAGCGTTACAAAAATTTGTTTCTAATATAAATTGAGCCTTAGATTCAGTTACTCCGTACCGGAATTGCCTCGAATTTTTAATCGAAATTGTACATAACCATCGTCCTTGACAGAGCGGCCGCGGCTTGACAGGGTTGATGTGACTCGCCTCTCAATATCTCGCCATATCTCCCTCACTCGTGCTTTCATGCAAAGGACCGCCCACTGCAGATTTTATCGGGTCCGTCCATCGCATGTGTGACCTTCCTTCCTAATGAGCTTTACGTAACGTACAAACTAGATACGATACGGTTGCGGGAATTCCCGAGACTTCGCGAGAATTCTTCGAAAGACGCGTAATCTCTTTTTTGGCTATGTAATTTGTACTTTACATAAATGACGATAAAGTTCATTATTCTAGGGTTACAAAATTCGCTTCCATTTAGTTCCGCAGCATTGCAAATTACGCCTTACTTGTCACGACCAATCTCGTAGACTTGAATTGCCATGGTCGATCTATAAAGGTGGCTTCCCACGGTCCGTGACTGCACGGGCCGCTCTGATTTGCACGGGAGTGCTCGCGCCGCGACCCCTGGGCCGTGAGAAGCCAGCATAAATCTGTAAATAATCATAGGACTCAGGTAAAAGACAATTTGTTCTAACCCGGATTATTTGTACGGTGTGATTCAAACTATGGCCCACCTCACATCTGCTGAAGATGTGAGGTGGCGGCTACTAATGACGCAGTGTGACTTAATCTGGGTCGTAATGGGCCGAGCGTGATTGCGCGTACACAATCTGCGTAACTTTCCGTAGATTTTTACATAGTTTTTTTTATTAAATCCAAAAATAGACCACGCCCTTTATTAGCATGTCTAAACTTGGAATAAAACGTAAAAACAAATACTAACAAAAAAAAATTCTAAGACCTATTCAAGTCAGCGAATAAAATAATCTAACATATAAAACAAACGAATATTTCAATTGCCTTCATATTTGTTACTAATGTCCAGTTGCACTAAACGTCTTAAACCAATGCTTAAATTGATAAGAAGTTCTTTGTGAAAGAGTTTGTCCAGGGAATTACTGCTACCTTACCTATTTCTGTCGCCAATCAGTAATGTCAGCATTACTATGTTCCGGTTTTGAAGGGTAAAGGTGCTGGAACTTACAGGCAAATGAGACTTGTCAACTTAAGTCTTAAGGAGACGGGCGCAGTGGCAGTGCCCCTTTAAAAGCTCTTGAGTGGTACTGCAACTGTAATGGACAGGCGTGTAGCTTACCATCAGGCGCACGTCTTGTTCGTCTCGTCACTTGATATTATATTAAAAAACACACTCTTAACTCATTGTATTAATGTCCACTTGCACTAAACTTAAAACGATGTCTTAAAGCCTCACAGGCAATGCAAAAGAAACTCTTAATATATTTTTGTTAGGTGCTGATGTGGCTAGCCTCTCGATATCTCGCCATATCTCCCTCCCTCGGCATTCAAGCAAAAGAACCGCCCACTGCCGATTTTATCTGGTCCGTTCATCGCACGGGTGACCTTCCTTCCTAATGTGTGAACTTTACGTAAAGTACAAACTAGATACGATACGGTTGCAGGAATTTCCGAGACTTCGCGAGAATTCTTCGAAAGACGCGCAATTTGTTAAGAGTGTCTTATCTATTTAATCCTTGGTTTAAGACGTACTTAAGTTTAGGTGGACATAAGTCTATGAGCGAATACCAAATGAAAGACGACGTAAAATTAAACTTTCAATTAGTTACCTTTTAAATTCTGCCATCTGCACTTTTTGTGTTGAAGCACTAACAAGTGTGGTTCAACCCTTATTGTATTGCTACCCAAAATGTTGAATAGTAATAATTAATTGGCTTGTTAACATGAATGTTATTTTATATTGTTATTGTTATGCAATTTGGTATGTTCTATTCCTTCTTCTAAACAGCATATTTTTTATGTGTGTGACGAAAACAAAAAGACATTTTGTTGATAAATTACTGTAAATAATTCTTGTGCTTAAAATATCTATAATTAAGAAATGTAGTAAAGTGTACAAAACTATGTAAATCGCTTGGAAGAAAATGTTGACCATGTATGTACAGTGGACCCACTCGTTTCAGTTTTAAAACTTGCGGTGAATACTTTGTCTTGTACGTACAAAGCTAATAAGTCTCACTATTATTAGAAATATAGATTTGTTATTCTGCACTACGAACCTACCACCTATAAGGTGTACTACGTGAGTGCGAATGACGATAGTGCGAAGACGGTTGCGCGAAAGCTTCAATGCGCGATCGTTCATTTGCGCGAATGACGATAGCACGCAGACAGATTTGCGAAAGCTGAAAGGCAAATTAATTGTTGCAAGTACTCCCTAATAAACTTTTACAAAAGTAAACGTGAACTTTGTTATGAAAGCTTTGCATTACAAAGAATTGCAACAACCTGCAGCCATGGGAGTCAAATCTGTCTTCGTGCTGTCGTCATTCGCGCATTTAAGCTTTTGCGCAACCGTCTTCACACTGTCGTCAATCGCGTAATCGGCATTCGCACTCGCGTTGTACACCTATAATGTGCAGATGGAAATTGAATTACCAGCAAATACTTACTCAACCAATAAATATGCTATTTATTTATCACAAAGAACTGACTCGACTAAATTGTCACCTGTGGCCCACTGTGTAAAGCTCAATTTAGATTCTGTACAGCTGTGTGTTGTGAATTTTAGAAAATGATATACATCATTCCAAATTGTATTTGTATTTACTACTATAATATATTATGTGGTGATAAATAAACCAATGACATTGATTTAAAAATGTTTTTTAATTGTCTTTGCCCTTGACACAGAATTCTGCAATGCTGTCTTTGAATTATCTACTGATCAAGTTTTTATTTTGAGGTCCAAAATTCGCCAACGGCCGTGTGGTGCGATATATAATAATAATGCAACCACGCAAACTAGGAAATTCCCTATGATAAGAACCCAAAGTATCTAGTAGCAGTAGATCTCCTTATGAAACAGTTCGTCCAGGGAAGTACTGCCACCTTACCTATTTCTGCCGCCAAGCAGTAATGTCAGCATTACTGCGTTTCGGTTATGAAGGAAAAGGATGTTAGTGAAATTACAGGCACATTATGGGACTTGTCAACTTACGTCTCATGATTACGGACGCAGTGGCAGTGCCCCTCAGATCTTTGTGATTTAAATCACTAAGTCTGTCATGGACAGGCGTGTCACTTACCACCAAGTGGGCGACTGGTTCGTCCCGTCACTTGGTCTCAATAAAAAAAACGAACTCGGCGAACAACACCTCGACCAGGACCAATTCGTTTTTTTTTTTTCAAATTAGTTCTACCGAACATAGATCTAGGGACTCCTCATCTAGCGCCTATCTTTAAGTGAGTCCCTACACTTGTCGACAAGGAATCGCATTAAGTCCGCCTTTAAAAAGGAAATAGAGCTAATCGGAGACGGTGACACACATGAACCACATAGGTGAACCAGTGAAATGATCCACGGTCACGAAAGGACTGCGTCGATGCCCAAAAACAGCAGTATTGTACCGATGGCGCCGTCACGATCCGTACTTTCGAAATATCGTCACGATAATCTAATCGATCCGTCGTCGCTACTCCCTCGGCGTTCAAGTTAATCGTTAACGACATAAACATACACAATCGATCAATCTGAAACGAACGAATCGTGAAGACAAATCGTCGCGTATACGGGAGCCTTAAAACATGATCACCTCAAGCAGACTTCCTGCGATATGTGGTGACGCGAAGTTCAATGACACTCCTTACATTCGTTGAATCGTATCATGCGTGTATATGCCTCAGTGACTGGATACGGCAAATTCATACCACAAGCGCTTAGGTAGACAACAGAAAAAAATGGCTGTCAGAGACCCTCTTAACATAATATCATAGTTTAAATGATACAACGTCCGCCACTTTAGTGGACAGTGGGGTATCCAGTCATTAAGTCCCACACGTGGTCCTTAGTCCTGCAAAAGGCATTCAAGGGTGAATATAAAATAAAACATTAAGTTACAATAGTACAACGAGTTTTATTTATAAAAATACATCACGATTGAGCTCAATAGAAGATCCTATACGGAAGAACACCAACACTCCGAGGTAGGAGTTGAGATCTGATTCATATAATTTCAACATTTAAGACTGCATAGTTCGAGAGTTACACCAATAATAAAAATGGTTAACAAATTTTATGAAACACTTGCCATGTTGCTGAATTGTAAAGAACTTAAAGCGCGCCATTCGTTGAAGATTATGCTGCCCGTGTGAATGTATGCGATAGCTGACTTGTCATGTAAAATATCAGCTAACCTATGCATTCCTTGTGGAAGTGTTGGCTAGTTTGGCCAACTCTAGTCTCGATGGGAAGGAGCAATTCGGGAAATCAACTTTTCTAAATTGGTTCAGGTCTGGGTGAATTCCATTGCTCTGGTACTCATAATAAAGGAGATTCCCTAGTTTGAGACCAGTAGCAGTAGAGGTCCTTGTGAAGAGTTCGTCCAGGGAAGTACTGCCACCTTACCTAATTACTGCGTCTGGTTTTGAAGAGTAAGTGTGCTGGTGAAATTATAGGCACATGGAACTTTGAACTCTCAGGGTGACGGGGTTTGTTTTAAAGTTCTGAGTGGCACTGCAACTGTTATGGACAGGCGTGTCTCTTACCATCAGGCGCGCGACTTATTCATCCCGTCACTTGGTTTCATAAAAAAAAAACAGGTTATTTGTGTGGTTGTCGTCACGTTATTATTATTCTGTAGTTTGGTTAGTGATAGAAAGGACAACAAACCGGGATATTAAACCTTATTTAGTGCCAGCAATTCGGTTGTCCAAAAGAACGGAAGTATTAAAACTAAAGAAGGCTCAATGTCGGTACTTCTGTTAGCGTCGGTAGCGGACCAAGTAACCAAACCATTGAGACTAGAGACGGCGAACATGCTCGTCGTATGTTCTTCCACTGACGAAACGAACAATGAATGAGAAGTTGATACTAGCGACCTCTTAGGGTCCATTGTACTGATTCCAAGTCTTGTCTTTTCCAACAAGTGAACCATATTTGCGGAATTTATTAACTATTTAAAAATTAGGATTTCTGTTAAAAGTTGTTCTTTGCGCCACAATTATAAAGTTATTTTTGTTTAGTATACATTTAACACACGCCAGCATGGCTTAAATTCTCTTTATAGAGGAGACTCCGCGTCCTGCAGCGAGATGAATGTGGACTAAACGATAATCACAATTACAGGTTGATTGATAACCCATGACCTTGAAAAAAAAAATTACGTGCTAAAAAACCTGTGAAAAGTGACAATTGTTTAGTGAATAACCAGGAATGTAAACTGCAAAAGACTAGCAACTAGCTTACACTTTACAAATTAAACATAACTCTCATGGCACACCCAAGTTTACATTAACTCCATTAATATAAATATTAAATGCAAACAGAGAAAGTTTGAAGAAAGAAAGCGTTCACAGAGTTTTAACAAAATGGTTTGGTACTATGACTAACTTTGATTTGACACGAATTCCTAATTCTTAGAAACTTCTTTAAGTGCAATTTATGCCCAAGGTAGTCGAATGGATCCTGTCAATTTTAAGATCAATCTCAATTAACGCTGCAAAATTTAGGAGCTTTTTGTATTCAACAACACTCCTGGCGTTCACATATTTATTATAGTATCTCTCCTGATCATTATTGCCTTAGTACGTAATAAATATATTATCTTTTTGTTCCATAGTTTTAGTTCAACAAAAAATAATGAATATATTGGCTGTAATGCGATTTAAGAAGGCTTCTGGTGTTATTATTGTACCAGCCACAGACGTGCCAGAATGTCTAACCCTCTTCCGACATTCAGGCACGTCTTGGTACAAGCAAAGTTACAATCATGCCTTGTGCATCAGCATAGAACACACGTACCAAATTAGTATAAGTAGCTCATACAAAATGTAAACCTCACTCAGTCAACCAGACTCAGTCAACCAGAGTCAGTCAATCCTCATTCAGTATCCAGTAAACTCTCATCAAATATCCACAACATATATATTTTATTTATACCATGTAAAACATGGTAAAGTGGTGACCCCGACGTGATACATTAATACAAAGATTGAACAAACACTAAGAAAAATTCCTTCGACTCGGATGGATTCGAACCAGCACCAGTTTGCCACACCGGAGCTAACCGCTCTCCCATCTGAGCTACGAAAGGAATCAGCAGATCTTTTTCTATATCTATGAGCAGACCTCACGAATTTTCTTTACGTACTTGTTGCCGATCTTTCATCATCACTTTGAAAAAAAATATATAGTACAATTGAGGATATACACTGATTACAATACGATGTGAAAACACGATTCCCGAAAATTTTCACGACAAAAGTTGTAAAAATATAAATTCTGATATAAAGCCAGTGTCCCAGCCGCTCGACCCAAGTAAAATGAACCGATTAGTTCGGAAATTTGAATTAGGTAGTAGATCTCTTAGACGGCATTTTTGCCATCTGTGAGAAACCTATTGAAGATTTTTCTTCACTCAGCCAGGTACCTTCGAGACATCTGGATATCCAAAAGAGGACGACCTCCTCAAAAGGTCTCCCGTCTACCAAAGGTGATCTACGTGAAAGAAATTTGTTGGAATTCGGAATATTAAGTTTGACCAAACCATTTTGTGAACAATTTTTTTTTTAACATCTATTATTTTAACAATCTATTCTTAACCAAATTGTTACCGCTAACGTACAAAGTAGACATGAAATAAAAGTTTTAAACTTTATATCAACAAACTTAAGACTGGGGATTCAAGAACCATATTTTAACATTTATAAATTATCACAAAAATATTTTTTTATATTTTTTTTTTTGCTTTTTTTAATGTCCTCTGGAGCACGTCACCACGTTTATGAAATATTAAACACGTTTGTGAGACACATAAACATGGTATGGAACAAACAGGCTTAAGATTTTTTTTTAATTGTCCTCTACAACAAATTTATACTAATACAAATATTCGATTTTTCTGTGTTAATTCAAAATTAAATTAACATGACGAAAATTGCCATCCCTTTCGCCGTTAATGACGACCAGGACATCACCGATGCTGCACCAAAATTATCGCGTATCATTTAATCCTGTGTGTTCTCAACCTAAGACAGATGGGCTTCTTACCAGCTTCCTTAAATTCCACGTCGAAATACCACAGAATCGAAACAATAATATCATATTAATAAGTCCATAATTGCACACAATTCCATAAATATATCTTTATATTAAGACTATATGCTGCTAGCAAATCTTCAGATGCTTTTTAAACGCTAAACAATATTGCTGAAAAAAAGAATCAAATTACGTATTGGACCTAGTGTAATTATTTATTAATACATTTGTTGCGTTACAAAACGAAATTCATAGAAACATGAACCAATAAGAGAACTGCTAATCTCCATATTACAGATCGTAAACCCTGAAAAAGGTCAATATTCCGTCTTATACCTGCTGCTTATACGCTGATCTATAGCCTGAATGTATTTTATATTATGTAAAGGGCCGTGAATATCCATTAATTCCTCTTTAGTATGAATTAAAAACTCAGTTTTTATTTCATAGTAATATTATTCAAATATTGAGGTAGCATTATTTTCTGAACTTTGACAAATATGCGTGTCAATAAATGGCCGTGTGTGTTACAAACTAATTTATAAAGTAACGCTTCCTAATACAATGTGTTGATTTGCATTCTCGTCATATTTACAGAGATCATTCTATATCCGAAACTGAACCCAAATCACTAAAAAATCCTAAATTCCTATTTTTTATTTAATTGCGGTAAACAAATTTGATCCAAAGGCCAGAACCTGTATGGTAATTCATCAAGTACAAGTGCGTGTTTATCTTATGGCATGATTTGAAACGTTTAATATACGCGGAGGATACGAATGTCGAAGTTTCTGCTTTCAAAGTTGTGGAGCCTAATGTTGAAATGAAACTCGCGTGGGAAGCTCTGCGTGTGGCTCCGGTACGGAGCCAGCCACCAGCTGTGGAGCTAGGTACTTCTAGCAATACTTTCATGTAACCTAAAGTTGGTAAGTACCAAATCTAAGTTACAAAAAACCTTTTTCAGTCAACTTTTCTAATAAATGTACATAAATAGTAAATTATAACAATACTAACATAATCATAATTAAGAAAATAGGTAAATAAGCGATCAAGAAAGATTAGGTACGTATCGCTCGGTGAAGCGGGTGGCGGGGTCACTGCGTGGTGCATACGTCTTGAGACAATTTTGCAAAACTTTACTAGATACAATTAGCTAGAATATTAAACAGAATATTTATTTAGATATCTTTAGGTGATTTAGCATTATTTCTATTATTAATTTCTTACATATGGCCGAGAATGCAAATCAACACACTGTTAGGTAGATGGCGCTAATCCAAAATAAAAGAACAGCCAGCACTATCCAAAAAATCTGTGCAATAAGCGCCATCTAGTTGATTTGTTTGTTATCACTGGAAATCAGAGTAGTTTTTTGGTACTGGTCGCGACAGCTGGTATACCATTGGGTACTAAATACCCGAGTACACTGTTATATCGCTATTAGCAGTCCTCTTGAGCTATTGGTCCATGATAAAAATAAGGGTCCAGAACTTTTCAAAACATTCTAAATATCTTGGAACATTCTAGCAAATATTGTCTTGTTTCCCGCTGAGCAGTTTTTTCGCTTTATTCAAATCATCCAGAAACGTTTCGCCGCGCTTGCATTTCTTAATCTGATTGGCTGGGAACAGGTTTTTAGACAAATAAGCGATGAACTTTTGCCAATCTTTCAGCAAATGATATGACTTTTCACGTTTCGTCTCAACCGGGACCGGTCCGTTGGAGTAATCGAAGAAAACATTCATGACATCTTTCTTGTTCTTCATTCCACGGTCAGCTTTGATCCAGGAAAGAATCAATGTGTCTATATTCCGATGTGGGTTAATGGGTTGATCGTAAATGTTACTGCAGACATTGTTAGTTTCTGATGCCGGACCGACAACATAAATGACATGGCTGGCCATTCTGAAAGCGTCATCGGCCCAAAGGAATGGGTCACCATGCGTGGTGTTCGCTATGTCTCCATCATACATCATGTCAATTCCATATTCATTACGAATGTAGTTGACGAACGATGTTATGCATTCTGTGTGGAGACGGCTGGCTGGTGAGTAGACAACAAGTACTTTTGGTGGTTCTTCTGCAGGGTAATAAATAGAAGCGGTTAAAATAGTGTATAGTCTGTCTTCTTTGAAGATGGAGTAAAATGACAGTTCATTGAGCAAGTGTTGCCTGCTTGCAAGCAGCTAGTGGTTGCAGTCGAAAAATATTCTATCGTTATGTTACGCTTATACAGTAAATAGTCGAACTTATTTAATTTGAATCATCAACAGCCCATCATTCGTCCAACTGCTTGGGACAGGTTCATTTGAATTTTTAAGTTCGTACATACATCTGCCTGAGGAAAATTTAAAAAGTCAAGAGTGACAGTATTGGGACATGAACCAGGGTAATCGATGTGCTTCCAAAGATAGATCAGGGTAAAATGGAGATGGACAGGGCTTCTGTTGCGTGGGCCGGAAAAATGGAGCAAAGTAGTCACCAATTGGTACCCACGTGATGGAAAACGTAATAGAGGGCGTCAACATCCAAGATGGGAGGATGAGCTGAAGCTAACTGCAGGACCATATTGAAGAAGAGTAGCTCTTGATAGAGCGCACTGGAAAGATCTGGAGGAGGCCTATGCCAAGAGGCACGCTGAGTTAGAGATTTAATGTAAAAATTTAAAATGCAACGTTCGATTCCCGAGCCGGGAAAAATATATCTATGGCCTACATTTATTTCTCTCGTCACCTTGGGTGTAACTTGTGGTTGTCTACCTATGTGTCCATAGCATCCGCGATACATGGTTTCCCTTATAGGGGCTGTGAATGTGTGCGTTATTTATTATTTATTTATTTAAGGGTCATTTAGATGACAGAGTTTATCGCACGATTAGTGGCGAGAAATCGTAAGCTATTATCGCAAGCAATAATCTTTATATCGGTGGCCATTTTGAAACTCCTCAATGCATTTGATTAAAGATGTAAACACTCAGGCCGTAGACCCGACCATAAGTGGATTAATGATGGCCAAATTGTACTACCAATTAGAAACCAATTAATAAAATTTATCGAGTGGCTTGATATGAACTATAGATTCTGGGATAGTAGTAAGTTATCTTATCGATGTAAGTTCTTTATAATATTAAATATAATGTAGATTAAAAAATATAAAGTTTACCTGCAGCAGGAATATAGTCCTTACACCAATATTTCCTTATCAACTTAAGAGCGATGTAGTAGATGAAAAGCGAAGCCACGATCAGTGAGGTGATGCTCGCAATGCATACGTTCAGACGTTGAATGTCGGTGGCTGTGAAAAATAGTCTATTAGTTATAAGTTACGACTCAAATTAAGCTAGAAATGATGGGAGACTATTTTATACTAGATTATCTATATTTTTTTTTAATTTTCTAAGTTTTTTTTACGATACTATGTAAATAAACAGGTCTTGTGCCCGACGGTAAGCGACATGCCAGTCCATAATGGTTACAATGCCGTTCAGAGCTTTAGATCGCAAAGATCTGAGTTACTGCCTCTGCGCCCATCACCCTGAGACATAAGTTGAAAAAGTACCTTGTACCTGTAATTTTACCTAGATAATTTCACATAGATATTCTTTATAATTTACAGACGGATTATTTAGATATCGTACGTTGAAACCAATACTGTCACTAAGCGAAAATCTCCAATTTAAAAAAATCAGTAACTTTAACGGCTATTATTTCCCGAAAATTGACGACCTCGGCGATCCAACGGTTTGCCCTGTGGGCGTTGAATGAGGAAGTCGCAGGATGGATTCCCGGCAGGACAAACTTGGGAAATGAATATTTTAATTTTTTTCATTTTTTTGTAGTGAGCGCGAACTCTGGCAGAAACGGGAAGCCCGAGGGCGTCGTAGTGGTGAACCAGGGCCTCTCTGGGCTCAAGGGTATGCATAAAGCATTTCCCCTTGGAAAAAAAGAGTGGTAATAGTACAGATCGACACTGGAAAAGCAAAACGTCAAAATTGTATTTGAAAAATATTACGGAAGAGCGATATAAAGTAATTGTTTTAAGAAAAAATAAACATAACCAATTTTATTTGTTATGTAGAAAAGCTGAAACTTTCTAGTTTTCCACATAAATGAAATTTGAGTTAATATTTTACGGTTGTTGCACTGTACAATATTTCTGTTGAGAACCTACTTATTGCACGTGTAAATGCCCATAAAAGACAGTTAATAATTCGCTTTACTAGGTAGATAGGTAGGTACATAGAAAACTTCGTGAAGTCCGCTGGTTCGTTCCGTAGCTTAGTTGGTATAGCGTCTAGCACGGTATGCTAGAAGACGTCGGTTCGAATCCGACCGTATCGAAGGAATTTTTTCCGAGTGTTCGATCTTTATATTAATAATTATAACAAACTAGTGGAGTAATTTCACAAAAATAATTGAATATCAATTCAATAAAAATTCAAAATATTCTCAGTAACTTTAATGGTTGTTTACATCAACTTATTACGGAAATTGTAATTTACGTCAACTCAACATCCTACTCTACTCACTATTCTAACTTAACTATCAACATTAAACAAACTTAGACGTTCATCCACACAAAAATTACTTTAAATTGGTCTCAAACATTTTTTTTATTCAAATGCACGTTATACAGTTTACCTTTCCAGCGTTGAGGAAATTCCCTACATCAGAGACCAGGTTATGGTGGTCTAGCACATAAAAAAAAATTTGTTGTAACTTTTAGAAATGAGCAATACGGTCATTGACTTACAAACAAATGGACGACGGGTCTAATACAAAAACCACGAAAAAAATGTCCCAAGTCAACCTATTCGAAATTTAAATTGTAATGTCATCGCAGTATCGCGCTGTCAGTCGAACAAATGAAGACTAAAGCGGAGTTTGGCGCTCTGTATACGATTTTAGCGCCTTACAAGTGCGGACACTTTTTAGCGCGGACCCGACGTCCATATAATTGTAAGTCAATGAATACGGTAGTAACAACAACACTTACTTATCTTTATCTTCGGACTTTCTACATGCTGGCATCCCTCCTCGTCGCCATTTGTACAATTCGTATGCAATGGAGTAACCAAATAGTGATATGACCCATTGTACATCAAGCTATAGTCGTAGGTGATTTCGTTTGTCCTGTTCTTTAGTTTCATTGTGGTGATTTTTTCAATCTATAAACGTGGAAAAAATTTAGATCAGGTTCATGGGGACATAGATGGATAAACAGTGTTTTTTGTACTTAGAGTGTCAGACTGTTTCAACTTTATTATGTATGCAAAAAGATTGAGTCTTTAAATGGGATATAGCGATACACTACATTTGCTCACGTTACCTTGCTTGGCGCCAGAAATAGGTAAGGAACTTATAATATAGATTATAATCAATATATTTTTTTACTACCATGACATTCATTTATTTTTATGTGCCTATTTCTTTAATGGCGTCTTTTTCAAATTTATCATTATTTTCACATTTCCAACATTACAAAAAATATATAATTATATTGCACTGCTATTACAATAGTGTCGTAACTCAAAACACGTGAAATTCAAGATGATTTTACATTACTGAACTTAAACGTTGATTCTCTACACGTCAGCAAACCCGTTCCGGCAAATCAGACAAAACCGTTGTTAAAATATTGTAAAAAAGAATTACAATATATCTACTTAACTCAAAATGAGCCAAACTTTATGTGAGCTAGTTCTGAATGAAAAAAAAAAACAAAACAGTCAAAAATATGAAATTATTTTTTTTCCTAGGAAATCGCGTATATTTGTTTTTTTCAAACAAACCAACGTAAAAAAACAAATATACGCGATTTAAATAGTGTTTTATGAAACAACGGGTTAGATTTAAGAATACTTTCCATAAAGACAACTGATTGAGTATTAACAATGACCGGAGGTGAGTATTACCCGAGACCGCTGCGTGTCGCGCCCCTAAAATAGTAGTTTTAATGTGCCTGATTACTGGCAACAGTTGCCACTGTACTCTGAATTTTTATCAGACAAAGAAATAAAATTAGTTTTTTTTAAATACTGTTTTATTTTACTTTCACTGTAGTTTTTTCGCAAATGTATTAAAAAACGTTGTTTGATACACGTGCAGATTTGTCATTTTCACTTGCCTGGAGTCTTGACTCTCGCCTCTGGCTCGGGCCAAGAAACCTCGAGACTCGTGAATAATACTAGCTTTCCGCACTTGTATCAAAAATAACTATTTTTCCTTTTATTTTTAAATACATTTGGCAAATAGGAAATTGTTTAGTTGTCTGTAATAAACATAACCTTAACCTGTACATAAATTATAATAATCTTTGACGAGAAGTGAGCAAGATTCATTTTTCATGAATTCTGAAACAGTACACTTTTTGAGTTAATACACTATTGTATTAACAGTGCGATATATTAGAAAATTAAGCACTTTTTATTTACCTATGTGGTTTAGTCCGCCGAGCCTAGATATAGGAAAGTAGTTTTAATAAATGTGATACAGGTAGCCTTCGTTCACACGGCATTGCCCTGCACGTTTTTAACCGACTTCAAAAATGGAGGAAGTTCTCAATTCAACTGTATGTTTTTTTTTGTATGTATGTTACGCGATAACTCCGGTATTTGTGAACCGATTTTCATGATTCTTTTTTGTTGGAAAGGGGGTACTTCCATAGTGGTCCCATTTCATTTTGAAAAAATCTTCCACCTTTAAGGGTGGCTGTTCACGCATGAAGATTAATTTTTATAAATAGCGCCAACTTTAATTTAGGAGCAATTATTTTAATTGTTGATTTTGCTATTTCTCCAATTCAAGGCGTTTTTCTCTCAATATACTTTGAGTAGTGAGAACCGATTATTATTATCTCCAGTGTAAAGTCCTGTATAGTGGCGAACTAGGGGATATTTCAATAAAACTTAGCAAAAAGACGTAATTCCACGTACTTTTGAGGTCGTTTTTTTTAGTACTCTGTACCGAGATTATT